CCTAATTCTAATACAAAAGAAAATTTTGGAAAATTATTTTTTACTATAGGGGACTACTAGCTTTCATAAACCTAGCAATCCCTTAGTTTTTTTTGATTTTCTCAAAAACTAGAGGAGCACCTAATTTTTAATTAGAGGCCCTAATTAGCACCTAAAAAGCACCTAATTATTATATAGATCCCGAAGTTTTTTTCCATTCTGATAAACCAACAAGCAACAAGTAAACGTAAAGCTAGCAGTCCCCTAATAATTAAAAAAAATCTGTAACTCAGTTAATAATTAATCAATTCTATTTTTTCTTCGACTATTTAGGAGCACCTAAAAAGCACCTAATTCTGATACAAAAGAAAATTTTGGAAAAATATTTTTTACTATAGGGGACTACTAGCTTTCATAAATTTGGCAATCCCTTAGTTTTTTTTGCACCTAAAAAAAACCTAATTCTGATACAAAAGAAAATTTTGGAAAATTATTTTTTACTATAGGGGACTACTAGCTTTCATAAACCTAGCAATCCCTTAGTTTTTTTTGATTTTCTCAAAAACTAGAGGAGCACCTAATTTTTAATTAGAGGCCCTAATTAGCACCTAAAAAGCACCTAATTATTATATAGATCCCGAAGTTTTTTTCCATTCTGATAAACCAACAAGCAACAAGTAAACGGAAAGCCAGCAGTCCCTTAATAATTAAAAAAAATCTGCAACTCAGTTAATAATTAATCAATTATATTTTTTCTTCGACTATTTAGGAGCACCTAAAAAGCACCTAATTCTGATACAAAAGAAAATTTTGGAAAAGTATTTTTTACTATAGGGGACTATTAGCTTTCATAAATTTGGCAATCCCTTAGTTTTTTTTTGATTTTCTCAAAAACTAGAGGAGCACCTAATTTTTAATTAGAGACCCTAATTAGCACCTTAAAAGCACCTAATTATTATATAGATCCCGAAGCTTTTTTTCCATTCTGACACACCAACATGTAAACGTAAAGCCAGCAATCTCCTAATAATTAAAAAAAAATCTGTAACTCAGTTAATAATTAATCAATTCTATTTTTTCTTGGACTATTTAGGAGCACCTAAAAAGCACCAGTCCCTTAGTTTTTTTTTAATTTTCTCAGAAACTAAAGGAGCACCTAATTTTTAATTAGAGGCCCTAATTAGCACCTAATTATTATATAGTTCCCAAAGTATTTTTCCACCTTGGGACTGCTAGGTTTATAGACCTGCGCAAGTGTTAGGAACAGTACTTTTTCTATGAGTATTTGAAGATTTGCATAGCATCCAAGGGAGTTGTACCTAATATTCTTAAATGTTTCCAGTTATTCAAAACTGGTCATTTTCTCTCTTGGTTCAATGTGTTCTGTTTTCAATTTTTTTTTCAGTGATCAGCATGACTTTATTTGCAACAGTGGTTGTGCTAGCGAGGTTTACTTGAGTTTTGTTATTCCTACAAATTTTGAGACTAAACTTACCAGGATGATATTTTCTCATGTGACTTTTTAAATTATTTCACATAGCAACAAGTATAGTATTTCCAAACTCAATTGGAACAAGGTACCAACTGGTGGCTGATTGGTCACCGAAAATTTCCATGAGAAATGCACTGCCACTATAGTCAGACACCAGTTATAATTTACGTTCACCTTGTTCCAATTGACTTTGGAAAAACTATACAGCAGTTCCCAAAATATCTTATCCATTTGGGCTTGCATTATCATAGATCTTGCTTTGTCCATTGGTGTCTGATTTATTCTTCCCGCAACACCGTTACGTTGGGAAGTACATATATATGGAAAAGTATAACTTACTGTCCAACTTTTATGATTGAATACCTACTCCAAAGGAATGTGAGTTGTAGGCTCCTCACGCCAATGGTCGCCTGACCTCACATCTGTTTTTACTGGATTTTTCCTCCCATCGCTCCTCATACGGAAAGTGTCAATTTAAAAAAGCTAAACATTACCTGAATACCTTTTTAGAACAAAAATAACATGAAGATCTTCATTTTGAATATTAGTTGTTTATCCAGAAACCCACGAAACATTGAAAAATCTAGTATAAATCACTGATCTCGTATAAATACGGTAATTATGTGAAATAAAATAACGAGTAGGTACGCTGAGTTTCCGTGCGCAAAGTTGAACTTTGCGCACGCGAAAGAGTGTGCAAAGTAATAAACTTTGCGCATGCGAGTAGAAAAAAATATTTTTTGTTATATATGAGATATTTTTATGGACTAAAAGAAATAAAAGGTTGTTGCTCTGGGGGTGGGGGGGGGGGCAATTGCCCCCTCCTGGATACGCCACTGGATATTTGCCTCCTTTTTTCCTTTCTACCTTGCATCATCTGATGAGGAAGTCGAAGTAGAGCTACTGGCAGACAAGGGATGCAAAACAACTTTTGTTCGCAATGTTACTTTTACCCCACTAAACATGTAATGTTGCAAAATTTGTCGGCAATATTGTATCGACCTTGCTTTAGAAAAATTACTAGGTAATGTGACGATAAGCTTTCTAAAATATTACTTATCCAATGTAAAGGGATATATAGTTCGTCGATTTTTAACTGATACTTGCGGTATGAGGAGCGAGGGGGTGTTTCATATGGGAAAAACAGGTGTGACGTCAGGTAACCATTGGCGTTCTAATGTAGGGAGCTACCAGCTCACATTCCGTCCGAGTATCAGATTAAAATCGACGAATAAATTTAATATAACTTCAATAGAGAAACATTTATTTTAGTTATTAAGTAAATGTTACAGTAAATACAATAATGTATTACATTTGAAACATTATAAAATGTAAGAAAAACAAATATTATAACAATGCTATAAAATGTAACTTTTCTCAGGTCTGTCGCTTTAATGTTGCGGAAATATTTACGTTTGTAACATTAAAAAAATATATTAAAATAAATGGTTGCATAAATATTATAAACTCAACATTTCTTAAAACTGTCAATGTAATGTTACAGATACCTTTATATGCGTACGTTACCCGTTTCAAGAATAAAAAACGTTACATAAATATTTCAACATAATAACAGAGAGTTGAACACGACGAAAAGATTCATCAAGATCTTGAGATGTTGGGAGAGGGAAAGAATAAAGCCAATGTATGATTTTAAAATTTTAATTTTTTGTGATTTTTTATTACTGTTTAATTTTCAATTTTAGGTGGCTGTTTTACAATACTTATGTTGGAAGAATCGAGGCATGTGTGATAAGATCAATTGGAAATTGGAAGTTTATTAACTAACCATTGTACCCCGGTCTCTATAGTTGGACTTGCAGAAAAAGGAATTTCAAAATAGGATCTTGCATTAATGCAAATCCTCACGATATAATAAATATCTATTATGTATACAATATTTCATTATGTAAATTTCTGTAAAGTATCAATGAAAATATTGCAGCTGTAATATTTATTTAACTTTATAAACAACGTTAAATGCAGGTTTCCGTAAGCTAGCATTTTAAATCTTACAAGCACAATGTATTTTCTATGAAAATACAAGATTGAGGCGATATTGCAGAAAAGTATTTTTTGTAAACATTGCAGTTGTGAATATTAGAATAAGTCCGTTTCAGTAATTGCAGCAACCTTGCACTTATATTATAGCAGCAATAAAAAATGAAATATTACAATATTATCTAGAAACACTACTGCGAAATATTAACGCGATATTACATTGTTTAGTGGGACGTTAGTTCCAAAAAAACATTTCATAAACTACCTATATATTTGACAGCAAATTAAGAAATCAAAAATCAAATGCAAAGAAAACTTTTAAAAAAACTTACATTTCTAAAGCTTAACACGAATTGATACTTTTTTCCAAAGATCCAGGGTAACTTTTACCCTAAATAAAGGAAATAACACAAACAACTTTTGTTTGTGACGTAACTTTTACTATGATTAACAAAATAACACTAATAATATTTATGCACAACAAAAACACTTTAAACAAAGAACTTTTCTTTCTTACGTAACTTTTACGCTTCCACATATATAGGCAAAAAAACTATAAAACTCGTGAGCTACACGCTACACCCTAAGGTTACACCTCACACCTGAACTGTAAGCTACTTTCTTCAAGTGCACAAATATTTATAATAAGACTCGATTTCATTTAGGGCCAAATTATGGACCAACTGGTAAGTGTCTGGTTGTTACCTAGGAGGTACGTACTTTCTATTCTCTAGTGCATAGAAAGTACCTGCTAGGTAACAACCAGACGTTTACCAGTAAGTCCATAATTTGGCCCTTAAACAAATTATATTACTTACAAACAAATTCAATATCGCTATTTCCAAATCAACTGATATCCACCAGCAGAACATCAAGACTGACTCATCCTTTTCTTGCTGATATTACCCAACCCTATTCGCTTCGTCATCCGGCGTTTTTTTGTTAGGTAGGTGCAAGTAAATATTCTTTACAACCATTTGCAAGATTTCAATCCAATTACTCCATCATCCTTGTCAAAGAAAGAATGAAATGATTGTACCCTCAATGTCATTTTTTGGAAATTAGATTTTTTCCAAATTAACACTGACACACATTTTGTCTAATAACTTTCTAAATTTCAACCCGATCTTAACGAAATTAGTCTCAAATCAAGGCCATTTTATATAATGCTCTTTGTTCAGAAAAGCAGTTTTATTCGTTTTTGTAGATTTTTCAATCTTTTCTCTCTTCATTTACAAAATTTTGATCCAATTCCTCAAATATTTTTCTAAAATGAATTCAAAACTTGCATAATAAATCATTCTTAGACTGCTCCCGTTCATGTATACCTTCCCACAACCCCAATTCCATAACAAATCAAGTTAAGTGTTAGCATTGACCACTGTATATGTGCGATCCAGTCCAAAAACTCATCCAAATGAATTCTTCAAAATTTTGTGCCACTAATTCAATTTCTGTTTCTCCAATATTCATTTTTAGTGGCTTATCAATATTGCATTGCTTGTTATAAGGACTAACTAACAATCTTTTAGAGTATTTAATGAGGAAACAGGAAAAGTATGTAGTTGAAAAGGGTAAAAATCTTATGAATCTTACACAAAAATAAAACAGGTAAAATTAAATTTATTGAACATTGAATTATTAAAAAAAAAATAACTTAAATACTTTACAAAGCCATGCTACAATTAAATAGCTTATTTTAGGTCGTCAGCGTATGGTACATTGGATAGATTACCCACTGAAGCAATTGTAAGTTTTCGGCCAGCCTTCGAAAGTGCCTAAACACAAAAATGAACAAATATAAAATACTAAAAAAAAATTCACAAGTCAATACTTACAGCACGAACATCGGCAGTGGAAACTGAGTCAACAGCAGCAGCCAATTCACAGGGAGACATAGCACCCCCAGCCAAAACAGCTTGCTTTCCTAGCAATTCTACAGCTTCAGAGCCGCTTTCCAGATGAAGCAGCAGGGCTGTTTTCAATTGGTTCTTGCCTATAAACAATCCAAATTAAAACATGTCCACAAAAACAAACCAAAAATTACCTCTAGCGACATCTGCATCGGTAACATTGCCACTCTTCAAAGCCTTAACTGCACCTTCCAAAATTTTACCTGCAGCTTTAGCAGGCGCAGCAATTAAAACCCCAACCAAACCTGTGTCTGAATAGGTAGCACTAATAGCAGAAGAGGCGTAGCCTTCACTACTGCAAATAGCCTTGCTCAAAATACCATTATCTACAGTGCTCCATTTGATTTGAGGTCCAACTCCGAGCGCCCGTTGCAAAACAGCAGTAGCCATAGCTTCTTTAGGGTTTTTAACCGAAGCCCCTTCACCTGCTACAGCCATAAAGGCAAAACTCCCACCTTTGTCCGACCTTATTTCGCCTCCTTTGTAAGGACTCACATTAACATGGCCATTGCTGTCGTCCAAAGTCAAAGACTGAGCCAGCTCGTCCATTTTGCATTCATCGAGTCCCAATCCAACAACAGCCCCTCTAGCCGAAGTGAAGTTGCTCGACACGTAATGCTGAAGAGTTTCAGATGAAATTTTTCCAATTTGGAATTTGGGCGCGTAAAGCGAATTGCCCAAACCCGTACGGAAGGCTGCTTTGTGAAGCAAATCGACTGCGCGCAATTGCAAGGGTCTTGTGGCCAAATCGATTCTGAGACGGTCTGAGAGTTCGGCCAATTCCCATGGTTTAAAGACTTGTTGGGTGGCTACTTCTGTTAGGTATGGTAGAGCTTTTTCCACGGCTTGTCTAGTGCCTTCTAGGGTGTAAGAAATGGTTTCTCTATCGGAAGTGGCGGTTAGACTGGCTCCTAGTTGTTGAATGTTGCGGGTGATGGCGAACTGAGTCATGTTTTGTGTCGAGAGACCGGCAGCGGTGCGAATTACGTGAGCGGCTCCTAGGTTTTCGCTCGTTTCGTTTCTTGCTCCAGCACTAATAATAATAATAATCTTTATTTGGAAATAATCAAATTTAGTTCAATGATGAATTATCTATAAAACATAACTAAGGCTGCAATAAAAAGCATTATTTTAAAGCTGTTTATGTTAGTAATGAGAAAATGCAAGGGGTGAACGGCCAGCCAAATTTGTACACTGAAATACATGAAGTACAAAGGAAGATATAAAAATACATTTATTTGATCATACATACAAGTTTTGATTCACAATAAGTTGTAAGGATTTACTCTTAATTAAATTCATATTAAACAAGATTTATTTTGTAGCACCTAGATGTTATAAACATCTGTATGTGCTGTAAATGTAGGTACCCAATATTTTTAATTTAATGTTAGGGATATGTTATACAATTAAAGAGAATCAAAAAATCGAAAAAAATAAAAAAATATCACAAATACTTAGACGGTCGGCGAACACAAACAGTTCGCAACCTCTTTTCCCCTATTTAAGAAGAAGAATGACAAAGAAAAAAGAAAGTAACAAAATGAATAATCGACAAAAACCCCGTTATCACCCACCTAACTCCAATGCCAAATCAAACCTAATTTAACTTAATCCTAAATTAAACCTATACCCAAATTAGGCCTCAATCAAACAACCTTTCAAATTGACGGTGATTTCGTAAAACTGTCTCGTAAAACTCCTGCACTAGTAAATCGCCGATGCATACAGTATCCAGGCATAGGGTCCTCAGGCCTTATTCTAACCGAGATATCAACTGCTCGATGATCTGATAAAAAAGGGTCAAAAACGTGAGTGCAAAAATCTAGCTCAGATTTTTAGGCATTTTAAGACGCTCTGGAGTAATTTAGAACTTCAGAAGACTTTCAATTCAATTTTAAATGTTTCTTCATTTGTTTGAGACAAATTGGAATCTTTAAGAACATTGTAACACGTTACAGAACAAATTTAGAATTTGAGAGACATTTTAGAACAGGGCCAGAACACTTCTGAACTTTCGGCAACCATTTAGAACGCTTTTGGCACACTCTAGAACACCTTGCAACTTTTGGAAACAATGTAGAACAATTTTAGTATATGTTGTGATGTTACTACTGTTAATTCATGTTTATTGACTATTGATGTTATGGAAGATTTATAAGCTGAAAGATAACTCAGGAACAGGTACAGATGGCATCCTTGTTTCTGTCATTAGAAAGCATATATACTTTGTTTCCTTATTGTATCTTGTGTAAAATCTTTATTCCACAAATTCCAACAATTTGGAATACTAGTTTCGTAACACCAATTGCTGAGAAAGAGTAGTGACAATTACAACATTGAGAATTTTAACAATCAAGCACTGGCGTAGCCAGGGGGGGGCAAGGGGGCATTTGCCCCCCCCCCCCCCCCAAGACCCTTAAATTTTATGAATATTTCTTCAAAATTAAGATAAACAGTCCCAAAAATAACATAAAGAAACCTGAAAAAGGGGCGTGGCACCAGCAGTCGCGGTAGGGCCGCAAGAGACGCTTCCTGCAAATTTGCCCCCCCCAAGACAAAATTCTGGCTACGCCACTGCAATCAAGAGCCGGTAATAATCAAAATTTGAACTACATATTACTGGCCCCTGGCCCTTGACAATTTTTCTAGAGGCGCGTGAAAACCCAAAAAAGTTCGAATAAACTAGTAAATAAATATACAATTTTGTCTTGAGTAAACACAAAAAGTATCACTAAAAACCCAATAGAAATTTTCAAAAATCCAGGTTTTTGCCAACCCTGATGGTTACAGATAAAATAAAACCTTTATTTTAAGACATAATTATACCAGAACAACCAGGTTTTATGAAAGGCGAATCCACAGTCTCAAATTTACCAGCAAAACTATATTTATTCAGCTATTTTATCAAATGCGTAAGGTTAAATCTGCTAAAAGTTTTAGAAAAATAGTTAGCAGACGTATTAATTGTAAATCCATACTACACACACCTTGGAAGAGTTTTTTAGTGCAAATTATGTATGAATAAGTGCGAGGGGGTAAACCGCCAATATATTTCAGTTGTACAAATTCAATTTATTCTTATGTATCCTTAATTATATGCAAATAGACCCTCTGAAAACTTAAAAGTCCAAATTAAAAACTTTAGAATTAACTATAGGCACTCTATTCAAACCAGTAAAAGAAATGCTTATAATAACTATATTTTATCATCGGACAATATCATTAAAACCTCCTGGGAGATTGTAAGTTCTGTGAGAGGAACAAATAAGAAGCGTTTGGTGGAGAAGTCCTTAACGGCTGATGATTTTAATACATTTTTTGCAGGTATAGCTGAAAAAACTCTATCCGCTATAACTGATACAGGACTGCAGCCTGAGGCATACTTAAATGAGCCAAAAAATAACAATCTCTTTTTTAACTTTAACGAGGTAACTTTTATTCAATGCAGGGATGTTATAAATTCACTAAAAAGTAAACCAAGTAGAGATATCTATGACTTGAATGTTCCACTAATTCAATCGCTAAAGGATGTTTTTATTATTCCACTAACAAAACTGATAAACTTGAGTATCCAGGATGGCATCTTTCCCGACTGCCTGAAGTTAGCAAAAGTAATCCCAGTATACAAGAAGGGTGAAAAGACCAATATCAATAATTACCGCCCTATTTCATTAATTCCTGTATTCGCAAAGATTTTTGAGCATATTCTGAAAGGTCAACTTTGTGACTACTTTGAGGCTAACGGTCTGTTTTCTGCAAGCCAATTTGGTTTCAGAGCTGGCCGTTCTACCACAGATGCCGTGATGGAGATTCTGGAGTACATAGTCGACGCCTTTGAGGGAGGCAGGCATGTCAGTGCTACATTATGTGATCTTTCAAAGGCGTTCGACTGTGTATCCCACGATATCCTGCTGACGAAGCTCAAGTATTATGGCCTGGACCAGAGGAGTGTCAATCTGTTGGACACCTACTTAAAAAACAGAATTCAAAAGACTTTTTATAGTGGCAGAACTTCAAATGCTTGGGCAGAGGTTAAACACGGTGTGCCACAGGGGTCAATCCTAGGGCCATTGCTCTTTCTTATATATAACAACGATATAAACAAAGCTTGCCCCTATTCAAGGGTTTTTCTCTTTGCGGATGACACCTCCTTGGTGGAGACAGATAGGGACATTAACGTACTGAGTGATAGGGTAGCATCTAGTATGGAAGGCCCGACAGACTGGTTTAAGTGTAATAGACCGACACTGAATGTTGATAAGACTGTGAGTGTGTGTTTTAGCTTGCGTGAAGTGGAGCGAGATGGGCCTGGGGCGGCGAAGTTTCTTGGAGTATTTTTAGATCCAGCGCTAAGATTTAAGGCCCATGTGGACTACTTGGCACAACGCCTCTTAAAGAGATCTTTTTGTTAAAGAGCCTGGCGCGAATGCTACTTGTGGCTTCGTTGCTGCAGACTTTTCATGCAGTATTCCAGTCAGTGGGTGTGTATGCTATTCTGGCGTGGGGTCATTCTGGCCAAGCGGGTCGTATATTTGCACTCCAGAGGAGAGCTGTTCGTATTGTGGCGGGTCTGGGATACAGGGATGATGTCAGACAAGCATTTGGTGATCTGGGTATATTAACCTTGCCTTGTAGAAACATTTATGAATGCCTTTTGTATTGCCACAAAAATCAACAAAGATACACTCTAAATAATTTTTTCCACCAATACCCAACAAGGCAGGGCGGTGACATTAGACTGGCATACCTGCGTCTGGAGAGGACACGATTCTCTGTAAATTATTATGCGCCATCTCTGTATAACAGACTGCCGGTTCAGTATAGGTATACACCTGAGAATAGGTTTAAGGTGTCAATTAAAAGATTCTTAATTGAAAAAACCTTCTATAGTATTGATGAATTTTTGCAGTGGAATTTTGTATAGAATGTAGGACAAGATTGTTTTTTAATGTGTTTTTTTGTGAAATGTTTTGTAGGAATTTTATCTTGTTAAGTTTTAGCAATCTGTAGGTTAATAGTGTAGAAATTTTAATGTGTTTAAATGTAACTACTTAGAAACTGGTCTGTATATGACATTGTATGACGTGAGTAAAAATCTTTTGTGATTTAATTAACTTGAAATATATTTGATTTGATTGGATTTGATTTGATTTGAAGCTTTTTAAAATGCTTTCCAAAGTTTTTACTTGATTCCTTAATGATCTTAAAGCGCTAGGCTGGGGTGTTCTAGTTGTTATCAGAAATCTTTCAAATGTACCCCTGAAGTTATCTCATCTGTTCGAAAATGATTTGTTTTAATCAGGTGAGCATATCAAAAACATAAACATCCACCAAAAATCTCATTATTTCTCCACTATAATAGAACAAGCCAGATTTTTGCCAACCTTGCACCAGTCCCATTGAAGTACTGTCTAGTCCTGTTGAAGTACTGTATAGTCCAGTTGAAATACTGTTTAGTCCTGTTGAAATACTATAGTCCTGTTGAAGAACTTGTATACTCCTGTAAACGTAAAGTACTGTGTGGACCTGTTGCTACCTTATGATTTAGATTTTCGAAAACTTTGACAGGTCCTAACTTTTTTCTATTATAAGGTACCTGTCCCAAATAAGGCCAGGTTAAGAAGTTTAATTTTTTCCTAACGTTATCCACCAAACCCAACAAAAATCACAAGCTTATATTTGAAGTGTTTCGCTTCTATTACTTGAATATTAACTCCAATTTATTTATTTTTTATATAAATGGTGGTTTTTGCGTAAAACAAAGACGCTTACCATTGGCCTTATTTGTATCACTGTGCTCCTAATAAGGCCACCAATAAGAAATGTTTAAAATAAATACAATTATTTATAAAAATATTATTATTTGAGAAATAGTACACAAAATAGAACTTATACGTTTGCTGCATTCTTAAAAAAACAATAATTCTAAGTTCTTAGATGGTGATTCAAATAGGTTTACATACAACCAGAACAAATGAACCGTAGCATCTATTGCTTGGTCAGATTCCAGGCATTTCAAAGAACATCACTGAAGTAATAATGTGGCACATTCTTTCAAAAAAACACTGTGATGTGAAGCCAATCGAACATTTTTCGTATGATGGCCTTATTAGGAGCATGTTAAATTGATAAAAAAAAGTCTGTAACTAGAAATCTAAGATATTATTCTGTAATAACTCTGTAGCTTTCTCAATACATAAATGTCCGTTAAAAAATTACAATCGCTCCATTCACTTTATAAACATGTATATAAGCTAATTGAGTTCCAGCCTCAAAGTTATAACGTGACATATGAAATATGTGGTTGGCCATTTTTCGACATATGACGAGTTGCTAGGAGCCCTTGCAATAATTTTTTATTTGCATTATGGATTTCTTTTTTAATAATATTGTAATTTTTGGAAATGGGATTCAATATTAAGCAATAAAGGGCACTGGCCTTATTAGGTACATGGCCTTATTTGGGTCAGGTACCTTAGATAGAAAGCTGAATCTTTCACTGAATTTTATCCCAATCAAGGGACTACAATCCCTAAAAATTTCAGCTCATTTGCACTTATAGTTCCTGAGATAAAATCGTGATAAGCAATTGGGGTGATTTATCAATTTTTCAATTTTTCTGAGTGCCTTTTTTCATAGATTTCGGCTTCAAATCTCAGAATAATTCAGTGTATGGAGTTTGGGGGATGTTAATTGACCATTAGGATACAAAATCTCAATAAATTTTTTTTTCAAATTTCATCGTTTTAGTAAGAAGGTAAGAAGGAAGAGAACCTTATGATTTAGATTTTGGAAAACTTTGGAAGGTTATAACTTTTTTGCTATTATAGATAGAAAACTGAAACTTTCACTGAATTTTATCCCGATCAAAGGACTTCAATTCCTAAAAATTTCAATTCATTTGCACTTATAGTTCCTGAAATAAAATCGTGCTAAGCAATTTGGAGTGATTTATCAATTTTTCTGAGTGCCTTTTTTCATAGATTTCGGCTTCAAATCTGAGAATAATTTAGTGTATGGAGTTTGGGGGACCATAAGGATACAAAATCTTAACAAAAAAAAATTTTAAAATTTCATTGTTTCAGTAAAAAGGTAGCTACCTTATGATTTAGATTTTGGAAAACTTTGGAAGGTCATTACTTTTTTTCTATTATAGATAGAAAGCTGAAATTTTCACTGAATCTTATCCCAATCAAGGGACTACAATCCCTGAAAATTTCAGCTCATTTGCACTTATGGTTCCTGAGATAAAATCGTGTTAAGCAATTTGGAGTGATTTATCAATTTTTCAATTTTTTTGAGTGCCTTTTTTCATGGATTTTGGCTTCAAATCTAAGAATAATTTAGGGTATGGAGTTTTGGGGGATGTTAATTGACCATAAGGATACAAAATCTCAATGAAAAAAATTTGAAATTTCATCGTTTTAGTAAGAAGGTACCTATTATACCTTATGGTTTAGATGTTGGAAAACTTTGACAAGGTTATAACTTTTTTTCTATTATAGATAGAAAGCTGAAACTTTCACTGAATTTTATCCCAATCAAGGGACTACAATCCCTGAAAATTTCAGTTCATTTGCACTTATAGTTCCTGAGAAAAATTCGTGTTAAGCAATTTGGGGTGATTTATCAATTTTTCAATTTTTCTGAGTGCCTTTTTTCATAGATTTCGGCTTCAAATCTGGGAATAATTTAGTATATGAAGTTTGGGGGATATCGTATGACCATTAGGACACAAAATCTCAACAAAAAAAAAATTGAAATTTCATCTTTTTAGTAAGAAGGTTATGGTTTAGATGTTGGAAAACTTTGACAAGGTCATAACTTTTTTTCTATTACAGATAGAAAGCTGAATCTTTCACTGAATTTTATCCCAATCAAGGAACTACAATCCCTGAAAATGTCAGCTCATTTGCACTTAAAGTTCAAACCGTGTTAAGCAATTTGGGGTGATTTATCAATTTTTCTGAGTGCCTTTTTTCATATATTTCGGCTTCAAATCTGCTGTGGATACCGAGAAATCCGTTGTTGTGCATGAAGAATGTAGTTTTCTGGGGTGGTAAAGTATAATTTTTATTAACAGAACGTTTTGACTTCTTTTGATTTTTACTGCTTTTGTCGGCGACTATGTGCAAAAAACGATGCCTTTTTTCCAAAGCGTGTGACGCCGCAGAAAAAAGCAGCTAGATAAGTGAAGATGTTTTGACAAGGGGCAGTACTGAATAGATTCTTAGGTTTTATTTTATTTCAAAAATTGAGTGATTTCTATTTATGGATATATGTATTAATTTTTCCTCAAAACGACTCTGTCTCAGTGGCGGCTCGTGACAATCCAAACTGGTGAGGCCCATGGCCCATCAAGTTAACCCAAACAAAATTTTCAAGTGTTACGCCCAAATTTTGACCCAAAATTTCATTAAAAGAACATCTGGGATATTTTTTTTTTGTATATTTCTAATCAAAATTTTCATTTCCTACAGTTGCAAAACAACAGCAGTAGGTACATAATTCTTATTTTAATACAAATATTGAGTTTCAAATTAACAAAATAAATTCCAAAAAACAGTTTTTTAACCCGCAACAGACCAAAATAAAAAATATGAGCCAATTAACCAATTAAATACTTGTCGCAGCAGCAAGAGATGCAAGATTTCTTATTAACAAGCCCAAAATTGTGCGCCTCAATGCCTATAAAAATTCGCTATCGTCTCACCAACAGTTGAAGGGTTGTGGTGGGGAGTGCCGTGGCATCGCTTCGCCGTTCTGTGACGCACATGAGGCCAAAATTTGTGGGATTACTATTTTATTTTTAATGCTGTCCGGCAACGATTCGAGCGCCTACCTATAAGGATAAATAGGTAGGAGCGCGCGCTAAATTCAAGAAATAGTATTATATTTTAATGAAAATTAGATGTTTTGATTCTTTTAATGATTGAAAATAGTTGAAAAACGTTAAATATTTAATAAATATTATTTCAAAGCTTTACATCATTATTGTAATTTTTACATGTGAGGCCCGGCCTCAGTTGCTTTATACGACGAGCCGCCACTGCTCTGTCTACTTGTTGGACCTGTGGACTGTTGTCGGTAGGGTTGGCAAATGACCGGTCAAATATCTTTTGTTCAATTGACCTAGTATTTGACTGGTCATTTGGCAAATTGCTCCGGTCAAATACTCCAGTAGTGGGGAGAGTGATGCCATGACGGTAGCATTATTGCTATCATTTATTCCTGGTCTAGCCGCCAGGTATAACATAACAAGGGCAAATACTCAAACAAAGACAGAAAAGATTTCTAATTGTTTATTTTGAAATATTCACCTGAAACTCCTGAAAGTTACATGTTCAAGGCCGCTTCATTCACCTTCTGATAAACTGTCAGGTATGTAATCTAGATAAAAAACGCAATCTGTAATCCCATTGGTCGGAAAATTATCCGCTGACGAATAGAATTATAGAACGGTATATCAAGCATCAGAAGCAAGGTTATTTAAAGATGAATAAACCAAGTCTTAGTGGTTTTGTTTTTCTTTCCATAAAAAAAGTGTTGATTTTGTCCTTTCTACCAAAGGAAAAAATGTATGCATGTTTGTTTCATTTTCTATAGAAAAATTTTGCTTTATTTTTTAAACAATAAACTATTGCTTTTGCAGTTATTTTTTTTTTATTGGTCAAATTGATTTGGTCAAATATTCTAGCATCGGTCAAATTGACCGTCAATTGACAACTTTTGAGGGGTCAATTGACTGAGGTGCCATCCCTAGTTGTCGGCAAAAGCAGTATTTATTTTTTGGGCTGTATTTTTCTCAAACAACAAAGAAATGCGAGATGTTCTGGTAGCTATACCAAGAGCTGCTGTTATAGTACATATTACATAGTTTAGTTAGTGAATACATGAATTGTGGCACTTATGAATTTGTTCTCAAATATAATGATTTTCTTACCGGAACACTATTGAAACCCTGGCTAGAGGCGAATCATTATCAGCAGACACTACCACAAGCTTATTGGGTAGCGTTTTTACATTAACTTGGTAGTTAGTGCTGCCACTGACTGGGGCCAGCTGAGCGTAGCCTCTAGTCTAAATAGAAAAAGGTTTATGTAACAGTTCAAATTATAAAGTTTAATATTTTTAATTTTGCTCACCCCGACAGCACGGAAAATGGTACTTTTTGCAATATTCGATGCCATGATTTGCCAGGGAATTAACAACCTAAAAATTATGTAATTCAATTAATTAGGAATTTGTATTTTTATTTTATTTGCCTGCTTCTTGAATGGAAATCCACTCACACTCCACAACCCCACAAAATGACAGTCAATTGTCAAAGTCAAGTCAAGAAAAGGCTTGTTTTTTTTTTCTTGAGCGAAAGCTAAAATCAGTACTTGTCTCTTTCCAGCTCATTCAATCAGACAAAGATAGAACTACCCACTAATCTAATTTATTTTGACGTTTGCGCCGTTCGGTTTTTCGTCCTCAAATTTGGCATCAATCGGGCCGCCATTTTGTTTGTCGCGTGCCGCCAAAGAGGAATTACCTGTTAAAATATTTATTGGTAAAAAGTGCATGGAAAAATGGATCTGGACAAGTTAAAAGTTGTCGATTTGCGTAAGGAATTGCAGGACAGAGGCCTGGACACCAAGGGAGTGAAAGCGGTGCTGGTAAAACGTCTGAAATTGGCTATGGACCAGGAAGCCGAGGAAGGTTTGTACAAAAGTTGATTTTTCTTATTGATTTGGGGCCTATTTTAGTAAGTTATTGGTTTGATGAGGGATTCTGGCCAAGCCGGGAGTCATTTAATACAAAATTAGCCCTTAACGGCAAAAATAAAGGACTCCTGGAAACTTGGCATTTTTGTATGTTTGTTAAAGCCACTGAAAATCATTTAAATATGAAGCTTTGTTATTCTTATTATAGTTATTTAGTTAGTTATGTGCACTCCAAATGGTACAACAGATTGGTTATGGTTAGGTTGATATGTAGTATATATTTCAAAATTGTTGGTCAGTGTTTTAAATACAGGGTGTCCCCGTTCAACTGGTCAAAAATGCTAGGGTATATAGAGGAACCATAGAGAAGTAGTTTTAGGCGAGAGTTTGAGATAGCACACCGATGATCGCAAGTGCCTTGTTTCCAAAATACAGGGTGTTGAAATTTAAACAACCCCCTTTCATATCATCTGAAGGGCTAATGCTAGGCTGTTCAAATTTTCAGGGATTATTGATTTAGGAATTCGTATAGTGCACCCTCATTTGCTACCTGGAACCATCCCAAAAAAAAAAAATTTGCAACAAATTGCTTTTTTTTCATATTTTATTTTTATTTTTTTGGGTGGTTCCTGGTAGAAAATGGAGGTGCATTATACGAACTTTTGAATATCATTCCTACATCAATAATCTCTGAAAATTTGAACAGCCTAGCATTAGCCCTTCAGATGATATGAAAGGGGGTTGTTTAAACTACTTAAACACCCTGTATTTTGGAAACATCGCACTTCCGACCATTGGTGTCCTATCTCAAACTACTTCTCTATGGTTCCTCTATATACCCTAGCATTTTTGACTAGTTGAACAGGGACACCTTGTAATTCGTCGGTCTCATGAGTCATGACATAAGGCCCTATCTCGAGATAGGGCCAAAACGAGTTAAGTCCATAGATATGTTGTATTTAGTATATACTTGTTTTTAGCCAAGGGTCTTATCTTGAAATCAGGTAATTTTGTTAAAAAAGTGAGAAAACACATGGCCCTATCTTGAAATATCAATAGTTTTATCACAGCATAAAGGCGGATATTGAGACACAAATGTTAACTACTATTTTGAAATGTGGTATATGACAAAAAAACTTACATGAGTTGTTGTTGATAATTCCAAAAAAGAGACCAAAAATCAGTATAGTTCTCTGTATTATATTGGCGTAAAGATATTAGTTTTCTTTTAATAATTGCTCTCCTGAAAACTTGTAAAAAACGAGATAGGGCCTTATGTCCTGAGACCGACTGTATGTAACAACATATTCCAATTTATGCAACAATGTAAAAGAAACTTCTTAACAAAACAATGCTTTCAATCATAGCAAGCTCAACTTTTCAAAGACTTATATTGAAAACATGGGAGTTTGTTATATATTTTCTAAAATAAATCACCCAATCCAAGAGTTGATTGTATGCTTCAACATAATTAGGGCTTTTTTCCTTCAGTAAAAAGTAGATTAAAATAATTTATTTAAATTTCTTTTTACCATTTGGGATATTTCAATTATTATTTGTTTAATTACCTAGTTCTAGGAACAGAGACTGTTAATTATTTAACTAAAATTGAAAACTCCTCATACTGTACAAGTTCTTGGAATAAGGGCAATCTCCATGGCTATCTCTCAACTTTTAATTTTTTTCTCCTTTTGAACACCTTGTCTTTTACAGGTGTTTCAAGATAATCAATTTTGGTAGACCCTACAGCAGAACTCTTATCTTGTAAAGTAGTTCAAAACATTCTCTTATAAGTTCATAGCCCTATGCTAATGATACAGTTATTGTTATTGTTAAGTTAAAAATTACTCAGACACTTTCAAACTCTGTATCAATTATCATTAAAAAAGAAAATATGTAGCATTTTCTTTGAGTAATGCAAACCAACCAGGAAACCAGCTTGGAAGCTTTGAGTGAATGTAACAAAATAAAATGCCTTGGCCCTTGGGATAGTAAGTATGTGTCACAATATGTTAGTCATACTCATACCCACAGAAATAATGAAAATTGTCTTTTAAATACGTATCAATCACCTTGTAACAATAATTTGCAACATTTTGCAAAAAAATACCAAAAAAATATGTACTTGTTATTTTATTATTATTATTAATATTATTGTTAACAGCAGTAGGCGGTTTAAAGAAAAACCGATGAGACTGCTGTATTTGTTTAAACAGCTATCGCATTCTTTGTTCTGATTGTATGGTCTATAGACAGTAGTGCACAAAGGAGGTTGTGGCCCAACTTGTCATTTCCTGGTCGAGGAATTCTTAAACTGCTTTTTGGAGGTAGAGTTTATGGTGTCAGCGCTCAAGTGGTTCCAATTGTAAACAGCTCTATTGTTAAGGAAATTCCTCCTCAGGAGCTTATTGCATCTTTCTTTAGAAAGCTTTTGATCGTGTCCTCTCAGATTTATGTTGTGGCTTAGGTGGAAGATGTCTCAGGTTACAGGCATAGTGACTGTTGAGTATTTTATGTGTTTCAATGAGATCACCTCTGATTCTCCTGTCTCTTAAAGTTGTGAGGTTCAATCTCAGGTGCCGTTCCTCATAGGACAGATTTTTAAGTTCCTGCAGTAATCTGGTTATACTTCTTTGAACTCTCTCTATCTGTTCTATGTCTCTAATGTAGTATGGATTCCAGATCGTTTGGGCATATTCAAGTTTTGGTCTTACATACGACTTGTAAAGTTTTAAGATCATTTCCTTTGATAAGTCTTTAAAGGCTGTCTGAATAAGGTAGATCATCGAATTAGCCTTTTTGGACATTTGTGTGATATGTGTATCCCGTCTCAGGTCATATTATGTTAAAGTGACTCCTAAGTCTCGTTGTTTCGTTACTGGTGTTATTTCCGTTTATTCAAAGAAATAGTTGAAATTGGGATTGTTTTGACCAATATTAATAATAATAATAAACTTTATTAACAGACAAGCCATTTACAGTAAATAACATAATACAAAAATATATGACGTTATAATATTAACGAAAAACACAAGAACTTAAAATTTAACATTTACGGTACATATAAATACACTGACATTTAGCGCTGCAGACTATTTAACAAATGTTTACAAGTTTTCAGAGACATGCCAAAAAAATCAAAATTGTTGGGTAGCTGATTAGCTTCTCTGCATATTCTAGCCATAGGGCAGAAAAAACCATAATTAGTCCTATGATACTCGCTATGAAAAAGATGCACTTGCCTAGTCTGTCTCACAGGGGCACGCAGGGAAATGCTGTTCAACAAAGGGGGACAGTCAATTAAGTTATTAAGCAACTTGAAAAGTAAACAAATATCATAATTCCTTCTACGTGCCTCTAAGGACTATTAAGGACAGTGCATTTGTAATCATTCAGAGGCATCCCCCACTTATGTGTCCAAGCTTTAATGTTGTTAAGGTCCATTTGTAATTCAACCTGATGTAGCAGCGGATTTGTGTATAGGTTTCCATCATCAACAAATGTCGCATTATTTGTGTGAAGCCCTAGATAGAGATCACTTATGTAAGTTATAAACAGCAGCGGGCCAAGGACTGACGCCTGAGGAACACCGCTGTGTACTTTGTGCTCCTTTGAAAGTGAGGAATACACATACTTGGAAGGTACGTACAGTGAGAAAGCCTTCCAACAACCTCAGAAGTTTACCTCTAACTCCAAAATGTTCCAATTTATAAAGCAAAAATTCTATTGGCACCTTGTTGAATGCTTTTTCAAAATCAAGGTAAATGACATCGATTGGTTCATAGTTGTCATCAGCCAGAGTCCACTCATTTATGAGTCTGGTTAGCAGATTTGTTAATGTTGATTTTCCTGGGAGAAAGCCATGTTGTTCAGCAGGTAAAACATTTTCAAGTAGAAAATCAGTGAGTTCTTTGGCTACTATTTTTTCCATGCATTTACATAGTGCACTTGTTAGACTGATTGGTCTATAATTTTCTGCATGCTGTTTGTTTCCTTTCTTGTATATTGGTGTTACCACAGCCCTCTTCCAAGCTAAAGGGAAATCTCCTGTGCTCATTATGGTGTTAAGCAAGTGCGACAAAGGCTCTTTCAGCACCTGTACACAGTTCTTGAGAAAAACTAGTGTGATCTCATTTTTGGTTTTGTTGAAATTTTAGTGAAATTATCAAAAGGCTAGCTGTGGTAAAATTAATATCCTTTCATGCGAGCTTTTATGTAACAACAGGTTTACACCAAGGTGCCAAACTTGAATTATGTGAAAGTTCATACTTTGATTTTCTATTCATATTTTTTTTCATACTTGGCACTTGAAAGAGTTTGTCCATAAAATACTGAAAAGAATAGGGTTTCATGAAGCCTTTTTAAGGTAAGTAATTGACCATTCTTCAGAAAGAAAACAGAAATTAAAAATTGAAAACTAGGGAAACTTGACAATTTCTTTAACGGGCGTGAAGGTAATAATAAGATGAATGCAAAATCATGTATTTCCATAGATCTAACAATCCACTACTTAATAAATGGAATCTAACTTGATAGGCGTTTTTCTAAATGTTAAATTGAATTTTTTTGGGATTTGTAATGTGTAACTTAAGAGATTTTAATAACATTCATACCTGAAGAAATACTTATTCAGTTATAGTTTGCAAAATCCTGGAGTATGCAAATGCAAGTCCTGTTTGGTACCCCTTTTATGAAAAACACAAATAAGGTAAAGTACCCAATTGTTGTCATGTTAAGGGTATCCTTGCTTATGACATTTTCAAAATTTTCAAACCCAAGGCTTTGATATATTTTTTGGTGTGAATTCAAACTCATAATAATTGAATGTTTAGATTATATTATTTACCCCATATTCCTTTTATTTGTGTTATTATGCCAAAAATACTTGAAAGGTGATAAAACCCCAATAGTTGACACCCAAAAAAGTTCACTTCGACAAAAGTTGACACATTTTTAGTCCAAAGGTTGACATATATTTTTCTACAAAACCAAATTTTTACTTTTAAGGAATTTTTTCACAGTGTGTGGAACTAAGAAGTATATTTTTCTTAGTGTACAATTTTTTAAATGAAATATAATATGCACATAATAACTAGTGATATGACGAATAGTAGTTTTACCAAATACTGGATATTCAGCGGAATTAGAACCGAATATTCGGCCAAATACCAAATAGTTATTAAAGCATGTCAAAGCTAAAATATAATGAAATAACCTTGACTAATAAGGACTTTGATCTCTCTAATCGCTAAAACGATACTGCAATTGAGTTGGAGGCTTATTCATCGGGTGAAATTTTGAACAAAGACCATTGTCCATTTTTTTTGGTGGAATAAACACCTACTGTTTAAAATATCCAAAAATGAGCCAGCTTGGAAACTTCTATTAATAAGCTCCTTCAAGTACCGTTTACAGTAAGCTACTATTCTCAGAATCTGGAAACCTGTACGAGAATAAAAATAATCAATAATTACCTATAGTGGTGCATTTCGTCTCTCATCATAACCCACCACTTCTACTCTACTGATATTTTTTTATTATATTCTTTGTTAAGTTGAATTCCTTAATGCCATGATGTCTATTCTCGAAACCGGGGTTCTTACGAGAACGATTGCTCTGTCATGAGAACTATCTTGTCTCGAGAATAAGGACCCAGAAGTATAATGTGTATTTTCATTTTCTTTTTCTAATTGTTATTAATTAAAAATAATTTGTTGAAAAATTCACTAAAAAATCCAAACATAAAATATTCGGTAGTGAAAATCAGATATTCGGCCAAATACCGAATAGCAGAAATAATGCCGAATGGGCCGAATACCGAATAATTATTCGGCTTCGGTCACATCTCTAATAATAACCAATAATTTAAATTTTTTTAAAATATATGTTGTGGTTCCATTACTTGACACTCTTGAAACCAATAATTGACATGTTGGCTGTATCAGTAGAAACCCTGGTAGAAGCATCAATAATGTAAGAATCAAACTTTTTATTAATAAAAAATAACACTGGGAAACTTTTTGTTGGGAAAGAAATACAAATTTTAATTCCAAATTGGTAATAAAAGAAATTGCTTAGAAAGCATTGGTACATTGTGTTTTTTGGCTGATGTAGCTACAGTAAGCCCCCTATCGCAATCATCCAACGCAGCAATCATGTCTTCAGGTAGTTTGGGTGCATATTTCAGCAATTTCCATTTTTCATAAGCCGTCTCTTGATTTAAACCTGAAAGAACCAATTGTTGACACTCCAAAGCTCCAAACATTGACAGGGGTAACAGGGATGTCATCTATTGGATCTACGACCGTTACATTTCCAAAACCCATATCTAGGTTTCTTTTTAATCCAGAGCAATAAAAAGAGACACACTACAATGTTAAAATATTTTTACCGCCAAAAATCCATAAGTTGACACTAGGTCAACATTTGGATGTAGAAATCTTGAATAAAGTTCAAACAATTGCACCTGTTTACTACTTCTTGCCACCATTTTGAAAAACCTTGTGATTTCAAATCTATACATCAGCTATAGTACGCAAGATGGCTCCAACAATACTATCAGCTATTTCAGTTACCTTATAACCTCTATAAATTCTTATTTTTGAGAATAATATGCTAATGTGTCAACTTTTGGGACCCTGTCAACAATTGGGTACTTTACCTTACCTACTCTACAGATTTCAACATGATGTGTTTGATGCGAGGTTTGATGTTTATGCTTAACATTGTGTTTTATTTGATATTCTGTTTAGATAATAAATACAGTAAAGCTCCGCTTATCCGAACTCCATTAATCCGGATCTCCCAGTAATCCGGACAAAATTAAAATATTAGATGTTAACATTATGTATTCTATAATCCGAATGTTGCATTAACTCGGATTGCCTTGGTTTTCATTGATCCGGATTAGTGAAGCTTCACTGTATATATACAATTTGATTGATACTTGAATATAATATTGCTACTCTACTACTTAGACTAAGAATTATGTATTTTAAAATAAAAAGTCCGTAAATAAAATTGTCTTGTCATTTTCTTTATTTCACTTTTATCCTAAACATATCATCATTAAATAATTATTCCATTGATTTAGTCGGTGGAAAGGTTCCTTCTCAAGCTTCGCCACAAAAAGATCCTGGAGATGCAGTTGATAAGCCAGCTGAAGTCAAAGAAGAAGCTTCACCGACTAAAGCAGATGCACCTGCACCAATAAAGCAAGACCCACAAACACCCAAAAGAGAACCAGTCAAAACTGCAGCCGAGAAGAAAGAATCGCCAGTGATTCAGCAAAGTCCTCAAAAACCAGCAGTAGTTGGTTCAGTCAAAGCTGCTTCTCCTGTTAAAGCTGCTTCACCTGTTAAAGCTGCTTCACCAGTTAAAACTGCTTCACCAATTAAAGAAGCTTCACCCACTAAAACTGCTTCACCCATTAAAGCTGCTTCACCAGTTAAAGCAGAAGCTTCACCTATCAAACAAGCCTCATCCACTGAAGAGGCTTCACCAACTAAAGCCGAAACTGAAGAGGAGAAGGTAAAACAAATCAACTAATAAAATCACCTTTAAAATTAACTTGTCTTGTAGGTTGAAGAAGTAAAATCAGAAAAAATGGAAGTGGAAATTGAAGGTGACAATGTAAATGAAACAGAAGGCAAAGGTGAAAAACGAAAACGCGACGAAGAAGATGAACAAGATGAAACTCAAGAGGCAACACCAGACAAAAGAAAAAGACGAAGAAAGCATGACAATGCCACATCAGAGCAGACACCAGAAACAGAAACGAAACGGGAACCCCCCAAGGAAGACGAACCCGAAATCGATGACCAAAAAACCCAATTGAGTTGGTACGATTCAGATTTGAACCTAAAAATTGACAGGACAAACTTCCTATCAGCCAAACCTTATCACGACGGTTGTTTTGGCTATGTTTGGGCAGGGGCACGTGCCAATCACGGCATTTCTTCTGGAAAAATTTGCTACGAAGTTAAAATAACTGAAGAACTTAAATGGGAAGATTTGGCTGGCAGAATCAAGGACAGGGAAAATCACAGAAAAGATAGAAATAAGGCCAGCGCAAATAAAGTGATTGTAACTGAAGAAAATGGCGAAAAAGTAGATGCGGCGATGGATGTTTCAGACGTAGCAACTGATGACAATAAAGTAGAATCTAATGAAGATGAAAAACAACAAACAGAAGAAGTTGAGGCAAAAACAGAAGAAGTTGAAGCAAAAACAGAAGAAGTTGAAACAAAAACAGAAGAAGTTGATGAATCAAAAACAGAAGTAGAAGAAGATGCTGCAAAAGAAGAGGAAAAGGCAAATGAAGAGGAAGAAGAGAAACCAAAAGAAGAAGAAATAATCAAACCATCCATCCCCACTCATTATTTCCGTGTAGGTTTCTCTTTGAAGGGCACCTCTTTGCAATTGGGTGAATGTAAATATTCTTACGCCTACGAATCAACTGGAAGATTCCTCACCAACAAAGAATTCCAAGATTATGGTGCCACTTTTGGAATTGGTGACGTTATTGGAGCATATTTGGTAAGAATATCTCTTATAAACATCTAATTTTTGATTAATTTTGTCAATTTAAGAGCATTGATGACAATGATGTCTGTATTACGTTTACTGTTAATGGTGTTGCTCAACCAACAATTACCATTTCGAGGAGCGAAATTGAAGATGTAGAAGACTTGGTCTTGTTTCCTCATGTGCTTTGCAGAAACTATGCTTTTGAAGTTAACTATGGAGCACAGGAAGAACCTTGGTTTGCTATACCTGAGGATTTAAAAGAATATCAGTTTTTGCAGAGTTTTGATGGAAAAGTTGATGGACCGAAAAGGCCAGAAAAAAGGGAAGATTGTGAGGTAATAATTATTTGAGAGGTTGTTGAAATTGGTTTTTTTTCTAATATATGTTTTTTTTTTCTAGGCGTTACTTATGATAGGATTGCCTGGTTCAGGTAAAACTCATTGGGTCAATAACCATGTTGCAAATAACCCAGACAAACTGTACACAGTTATTGGTAATAAACCAATTTTTGATAGAATGACGGTAAGGTTTGTTTTAATGTGTATAACTTTATTGTTAATAATAATTGTTTTGTTGAAGGTTGAAGCTGAACCGATGAGAAGTCGTTTCCCTGGCTCTTGGAAAATTCTGGTGGATCGCATGCAGAAATGTTTGAACCAGCTTACTGATCAAGCTAGTGGCAGGAGACGTAATTTTATTATTGATCAGGTAAGTTTTTATGTCAGTGATTCAGTGTCCAAGCCTTTAGATTATTTTTATTGGAAATTCAGGGGTGAGTATTTAGCATTTTTGGAAGTTCAAGGTAATTTTGGTTTAAGTGAGAACGTCGTGGGATAAAGGTTTCCCAGCAAGCATTATAATATTTGTTTTATTTGCAATTATTATTGTGAGCTTTGAAGATTGAAGGTGTTTCCAGGATTTATAATAAAACATCTATCCCATTCTCCCTGTTTAAAAAATCCAAAGTTCTATCCAGAAAAGAATGTCTTCCATTGTTAGTCCTATGGAACACACTAGAAAATAATTTATTCTGCCTTGAAATTCTTTGCAAAACAGCAATTTTGAGAAGGTAAAAAAGGACATGAAATTATTCCATTCACTAGTTTAGGAATAACACAAACATCAATCATAATGTTTCTTCTTTCCAATGGAAGAAACTTTAAAATAATTCAAAATATTAGCATAGGACTATTAGTAAAGTCCGCCTTACGAGTCTAGCACTATGACGTCTGAAGAGCAAGGGGACATAACGCCATTCATTTCGAGCTTTATGCTGCTTGTCATAGGCGAGCGCGCAACATTTTTGAATATTACTTTTTCCCTATAAATGTAGGTGTGTAATATAAAGAAATATTAAGCTATTTTTTATTGGAAGTCAATGTTGCAATATTGCAATTTTTTTATCCGCATTCCTTCCATAGTGCTAGACTCGTAAGGCGAACTTTAATAAGCCCTAAGTTATATGTTTAATTGTAAAACCTTAAAAATTTGCGCTGAACACTTTCTAGCTTAAACAGTATATTGTGGAGTCCAAATAACTGAGTCATATTAAAGCTGAGACTTAACTAACCCATAATACACATATGTATCTCACCCATCCAAAGATAAATCTGGACAATTTCTAAGAGTGAAGCCCAAAATTCTGTTGGCCTTTACAATCAGTTGATTCATATGGTCAGTGAAATGTAAACACAAATCAAATAGTATCCCTAACTCCTTAGCTACCTCACTTATTTTCACTTGGTTACCATTTAATGAGAAAGAAGATTCCATTTTATTTTTCTTCCGAGTTCAGTATTGTAGAATCTTGACACGGTAAGGAATAATTGCTTATATCTTGCTTGAAATTTGAATAAACTAAAATAAACTAGGTATACATTATTAGAAATTATTAATCTAAATTTTGTCCAAAACTTTAAACTCGATTTTCTGAAAAACTGCAAATTCTAGCGAGTTCAGCTAAAAACCCTTTCAAAGCCCCTATCATCATTACTATGGTATGGTATGAAGAAATATTTTAATGCTTGCTGGGTTGATAATAGTCCATAAGTCATCAAGGTAAGTCTTGAATTTTTTTTAATGCAGTTAACATGGAACAAATAATTGAGTACAAAGTTACTTATCTAACCCATGTTATCAATACTGCCCTTGTTTATCTGATAGATTTTAAGTTTGATTTATAAGCCACAAATCTGCCCACTTTTTATGTGATTTTTTTATCTGGTGTCCGATAAGAGTTTGAGTTGAGCGGTAGTATTGCGGCTGTTGTGACGAAAAAGGCCGGCTATATAAAATAATCAATTTTTTTCAAATACAGGTTGATTTCATGGCAATAGCCTTGGAAAATGGGATTAGTCCAGCCAAGATCTAGTGGATTTTGGTTACTAAAGACTTTTTGGGAATCGGGGTTGCCTGTTGCTACTTGCTAGTGACTGAATATTGACTTTATGAAGTGTGTAGTAATTATTACAGTGAAAGACATTTTTATTTGTGTGGCAACTAGTGGAAGATATTTCCTACTTTTTGTTTAGGTTTCCTATTTAATTTACTAGATAAATTGTTGGCTAGGTGGGTCAAAAAGGGCTACAAATATTAATTAGGCAATGATGAATATTGCCTAGGTATTTTGAATTGTTTAAGTTAGGTTTAAACAAGCTTGACTCATTGATATCAACTAAATGCACATTGAGATGTTGCCTTATTTGAGAAGCACATAACACTTGGTATATTTCCATTTGGTAAAAGCTCTGAAATCCAATACAAGTATTTGACAGTAGTGATACTTTGGTAGGTTTACTGATCCAGTAGCCCAAGATGTGATTCACTAGTCAATAATCCTGGTTAAGGAATTGGTGAGGTGATCAGCGAAGCAATTTAACATCTGATATAGAGTTATTTGGATCTGTTTGAGAATGGTACTTTTCCAAGGGAATAATAAATATGAAGGACCTTCTCTAAATAAACATTCATATGAGGGATAAGTCATAGGCTTGGTCATAGGTTAGCAGTGGCGGCTCGTCAGAGGAGGCAGAGGAGGCTAAACCTCCCCCAAAAAATTGAAAATTCAATCTCAATTTTTTATTCCTGATTTCTAATTGAAATAATAATTCACAAATTACACAACAGAATTCCAATTTTCGATATTTCAATGTAATTTAGAAAAATCTGACATTATTTCAATCAGTCCCGCGCCTCCACGACAAAAATCTGTGAATCTGGGATACTCAGTAATACCGGCCCGAAGGGCCGGAGTTATATGCGAGCCCGAAGGGCCGGAGTTATATGCGAGCCCGAAGGGCCTGAGTTATATGCGAGCCCGAAGGGCCGGAGTTATATGCGAGCCCGAAGGGCCGGAGTTATATGCGAGCCCGAAGGGCCGGAGTTATATGCGAGCCCGAAGGGCCGGAGTAATATGAGCCCGAAGGACTAGAGTTATACGCGAGCCCGACGGGCTACAGTTATTTTAATCACGGGGCTCAGTCTATAATTCTATTGGTCAGCGGATAATTTAGAGCCAATTAAAAACCGAGAGTATTTAAAATGCGATTTTCAGCGTCCGATCAAAGAGCCGGGAATATTCAAAAACTTTAGTTTCATCAAATTGATTTTGGAATGTTGGTTTTCGAGGGGCAAACCACTCCTCTAAAAAATGTACATGTATTGCGGAAATCCTATGATTTCTTGGCAATCATTGCAATTTCCAGGGCTGCCATGAGAATTTAAGAGATTTCGAAGATTGCCATGAAAATCCAAATGATTTCCAAGATTGCAGGACTGCAAAATGATTATTGCAGGACTGCGGAAGGGATTGCGAAAAAAATACTTGCGAATAAGTGATTGCGACATTGATTTTGAGTGATTTCGGCGACTGCGACAAGAAATTTAGACACGCCCCTATGACCGCAAGCACAAGATTTCCGCGACTGCAGGATTTCCTTGTGATTTCGAAGAAATTTAATTAAAATTTACATGTGTTGCAGGGAGTAGGGCAAACCACTCCTCTTAAAAATGTACACGCCTCGGTACACGTATTGCGGAAATCCTATGATTTCTTGGCAATCATTGCGATTTCCAGGGCTGCCATAAGAATTTAAGGGATTTCGAAGATTGCTATGAAAATCGAAATGATTTCCAAGATTGCGGGACTGCAAAATGATTATCGCAGGACTGCGGAAATACTTGCGATTGCCACATTGATTTCGAGCGATTTCGGAGGCTGTGACGAGAAATTTAGACACGCCCCTATGACCGCATTCACAGAATTTCCGCGACTGCGAACACGATTTTTGCGACTGCGAACATGATTTCCGCGACTGCGAACGTGATTTCTGGGAATGCGAAGAAGAATGCGGGATTTCGGGCTATTTTGGCAGAGAATGCAGGATTTCCTTGTGATTTCGAAGAAATTTTAATAAAATGTACATGTATTGCGGGGAGTGGTTTGCCCCTCGTTGGTTTTCTTAAGATTTTCACTTTTTTCAGAAAACGGTGGTTTTTGCAAACATATACTACTTTATCATTGTCTTTGTGTTACTCACTATAATCAATAAGGAAACCTTGTAATGTCATTTTCATTGAAATTAAACTAAAAACAAGTTTCCTATGATTTATTTGGGGAATTTTAATTATTATAATCATTATTAATTAATTATTAAATTGAATTTTAAACAAAAAACTCTTTTAAAATGTTATTTTTGTTTTCCGAGATGAGATGTGGCAACGTTGATTTTAGTTGGTCATTTTGAAGTGACGTCTTGTGATTTTTTGCCAGTTTTTTTCTTGAATTTTTGACTTTTCCAAAGTTTTTTATTGGAAAAAAGCGATTTAACATACGAGGTTTTGAGTTTTCTTCATTTTTTGGTAAACATTTCTAGTTTTAAATACCATAATTAGCAAAATCCCATTTAAAGTGCTTTTGATGTGGCAACATCGCTTGTGGCTAAATTCAATCAAGGAAGCATTTTTGACAGTCGGCCATTTTCAATTCACGTGTTTACATTTTTATTCAGTTTTTCTTCGAATTTCCACTTTTCCGGGGCTGTTTCAGTGGGGAAAACTGATTTAAAGAACGAGGCTTTGTATTTTTTTCATTTTCCACCAAAAATTTCCAGTGTTTTAACGGGGTAAGTGAGAAAAACTTTAGTTTTATCAAGTAGGTTTTGGAATGTCATTTTCGTTGGTTTTTTTTTTGAAATTTTTATTTAAGGTTTTTGTGGTCCAGGGATCGTTTTCTATCACTTTTTTTTCTCGAAATTCGCAAAATTAAAAAAAACTTTTTTGACGTTGACAGCTGTCAATTTTTTTTGACACAAATCGATAGTTCGCGTCGTAAAACTGCCTTGTACCAGGGTTGGACTTTCGTAGCTTTTATAGTAGAGCGGGGAAAAAGTCGAACATGTGTCAAATTTGACAGATGACATTTGTCGATATTGCCAAAGTGTCGTGCGACAAAAGTTTTATCCTAACGAACCTGTTCATTGTTAACTGATTTTAATATTCCGGCCCTTCGGGCCGTAATCTTTGAAACAAAAAGTCGTCATTTTGTATCGATTGTCAAAAAAACCCAAGGTTTGAAATTTCAATTTTTTGACATTTGTTGTATCATGAGCAGTGTTGCCATATGTTTTTTTTTTCAAATCTCGAGCTCGAAGGGCCGAGATTATAGGTTATTTTAAAGCCAATCAAGAGCCGGGAATAAACAAAATTCGAATCCCCAAACCAATCAGGAGCCGGGAGAATTCAAAAATTCGAATTCCAAACCCGACGGGAAATTGAATTTTTTGTACCAACTGTTGCTACATGTTGTTACATAAATCTCACCCTAAAACCCACTAAAAAACGACCTTTGTTTTTTGGAAAAAATTAAAGAATTTTTTTTTTGAGATTGACAGCTGTCAAAATTTTAAAAAACCTACACGGGCATATAGATTTAGCCTCGGCGAATACGTAGGAAGTACCAATTTTTTTTTTAACATATGTCAAAAAAGACGTTCGGCGTTGTCAGGCGGTTGGTTTTTGACATATATCCATGAAACTTCTTATTCTAGGGTTTTTGGAGCCTGGGGATCGTTTTCTGACATTTATTTTTTGAAAAAAAGAAAAGGTAAAAATTTTTGACATTGACAGTTGTCAAAATTTAAAAAAAAACCCACATGGGCATATAGATTTAGCCTCGGCGAATACGTAGAAAGTAGCCAAACAGGGCCAATTTTTTGACGTTTGTTGTATTATAATCAGTGTTGCCATATGTTTTTTTTCGAATCTCGATTCTGGAAGGCTGAGGTTATCTCAATTGTGAGCTCAAAGGGCCGAGGCTATACGACTCCGAAGAGCCGGAGTTATACGAGCCCGACAGGCCGGAGTTATTTTAATCATATGAGCCCGAAGGTGCGAGGTTATACGAGCCCGAAGGGCCGGAGTTTTACAAACCCGTTCATTGTCAACTGATTTTAATACTTCGGCCCTTCATATCGTTATCTTTGAAACAAAAAGACGCCATTTTATATTGACTGTCAAAAAAACCAAGGCCTACTTTGATATTTCAATTTTTTGACGTTTGTTGTGTCATGAGCAGCGTTGCCATATGTTTTTATCAAATCTCGATTTATAGCTTATTTTAAACCCAATCATTGACATTTCTGAAAAATATTTCGTCTAGAAAAAGGAATTAGATGAGAAAGGATAATGCATACTTACCTAACATGGGATTTTTGGGCTCTATGGTTTTTTCCCATTTTTTGATATGTTGTAGAGGATTTAATTGTGAACAACCCTTAAATGGGACGAAATCTTGTAGGTATTACGGCCTCTGAGATATGAGCGTTGAAAAATGAATTTTTTTGCGACTTTTTGTGTGGAGAATATACGAGATACTGGCGCTCCTGGTGTTTATCAGTCAAAATATTGACAGGTTCACATATTTTACGTCACTTAAATATCAATGTCAACATAGGTTAAGGCCGGGACCGTACTAGGATCAATGTTGGCGCCAGTGCGGTCCCGGCCTTAGCCTATGTTGACATTTGTTAGTGACGTGAAATATGTCGACCTGTCAAAATTTTGACTGATAAACACCAGTTTTTCGTATATTCTCCACACAAAAAGTCGCAAAAAAGTTAATCTTTCAAGGCTCATATCTTAAAGACTGTAATACCTACAAGATTTCGTCCCATTTAAAGGTTGTTCAGAATTAAATCTTCTACAACATATCAAAAAATGGGTAAAATCCATAGAGCCCAAAAATCCCATGTTAGGTGTGCGTTATCCTTTTTGCGGAGTTTCCATAGAATTCACATTAAATTTTAATTCCTCTCGAATTACTTGAAATTTCAGTGAAATTTCGATCGAATTACACGAAATCCTTAATGAATTACATGGAGGAATTTTAAACAATTACATGAAATTACACCTAAATTCCCAACATGAAATTTCAGTTTTTACTGAATTTTAGTACTGCCGAGGAATTTCCAACTAAAAACATGGAATTTCGGTGATATTCCGAAAAATTACCATGAAATTTCAATATATTTCGATGAATTTTTAAGAAATTACTTGAAACTTCATTAATATTCCCAGAAATTCCTGGCTATTAAAAGAGAATTTCAGTGAAATTCCGAAAAAAAATTATGAAAATAAATTAAATATTGAAAATTCCTTGAAGTTTTATTGGACTTTCAGAAATTTTCAGTTATGAACGTGGATATTCTCATAAAATTTTAGTGAATTCCGAGAAATTTTTAAGAAATTACATGAAATGTCAATGAATTTCCGTAAAATTTTATGAAAATTTTGTGGAATATCAGGATTAGTAGTAGTTAAAAAAAAATATATGGAATTTTGAAATTGAAATCTTAGTGGAATTCCGAGGAATTTCATAAAATCCTATACTGTAATTCCCAAAAAAATTTGTCCAAGAATTCCATAAAATCTTCTAATGAAATTTTAAGGTATTTATTTCTATGGAATTACTTAAAATTTTCGCGGAATTCCCATAGAATAACTTAAAATTTTAATGAAATTCCAAAGAACTTTGATGAAATCTTGGAGAGGTTAATCACTCCCCGAAATCGTGTCACAAATTCGTCCGAAATCCACGAAATTACTGCGAAATCCCTTCGGAATCTTTCCGTAAACCCAAAAATCTCTCGCAATTGGCTCAAAATTCATAAATCACTGAAAGTCTTTAAAATCTTTGAGCCTCCTCACTTGAAATAGTCACGAGCTGCCACTGTAGGTTAGTGACGAAGCATTTGGAAATACACACTGTTATTGAAAGGTCCTATAGAGGCTCTTCCTATGAGATCTAAAAATTGAAGTATCATCTTTCTCAGAAACTGACATTTACCTACAACAAGATAACAAGCGAAGTTGTTTGATTCAGGATACATTATAATAAATGCTCTTTTGTCCATAAACAAGCCATGTTTATCTAGTAATTAAATACTAATATACAAGTACCTAAAAATATTGACCAATTTTATTTAGTATTTTTGTAGGACATGACAACCATTTATGCCCTGCAGGGGCACGGGTGATGGCCACAACTTAATCAGGAATCTGCCCTACTGACTATGTATTGCAATAATAATTGATTGCAAATAGGCATATTTATATCGAGACTAAAATGCATATGTCGTATGCGCTCGTAAGTATAACAATTGTCTTTAGAATGTTGTTGGTATATTATTGTGGCAGATTGACTTGTGGCATTTTTTCAATTTTTTACCTTGCTGATTTCGCTCTTGAGGTCGCCAATAGGCCCGTTTTGACTCTCGCTCTTATCAGACTCAAACTCAAACTGGAGCCGAATTATTTTGCGGCTCCAAAACCCAAAAAACTAAAAAAAAAAAACGCAAACTGTAAGCGTGTGTTGTGTGGCACAGACGAACGTGTTCCCGAACGCACAGCGTCGCAAACTGCGCGGATTTGAGGGTTTCAAGCGCAAGGCAATCGTTGTGGTGTGCGAGGACGAAGAGCACAAGCGCAGGCAAACGGACCAGCAAAACGACTACGGTAAAATCGTACCAGAGAGCACCATGTACGACCTAAAAGGTAACCATTTTACAGCTACGATACTAGAAGATCGATTATGTGAACACAAGTTTGAACATCTTGTAATTGGGGTTTGTTTGGATAGCCAAAAGATATCAATATTCCAGATTCATTATGTTTAGCCAAAACTTGAATTACTTACGGTTTACATTTAGCCATTACATACAAATTTGTTTTCACATTATCGAGAATGTACTGTTATTTATTTAAATTTTTTCTAAATTTAAAGTCCTTGGTAATGACTTTATACTGTGGCAATAATATTTTCCCTTAATATATGTCACAATTTTTCATCTTTTTACATATTTCCACTTCTCCAGCTACTTTTTGCGTTGGTTTTCTTCAATTATTGATTCAGTTTATCATCTTTTTTCCTCGATTCTAGAAAGCTGTTACTTTTATTTTGTATTTTAGCTTGTTTAAATTTTTGAAAATAACGTAACATAACAAATAACAATAGAAATCTTCTTTTTTAAAAAAAAAAAAAAATCACTATTTTATTTTAATTTTCACCCTATTCCTCTCTTTTCAATTTCAATGTAGCTCTAATAGATCCGCAGCTGCAAAGCTTTAAAATCGAAAAATCAAAAACATTTTTCCCACATCCCAAACTTTTTTCTATCCACTGCCTGCCCTCAATGTTATGTTTTGGAAATCTGATTTTTGCTAAAATGACATCGACATACATTTTGCCTCATAACTTTATTAATTTCAATTGGATCTCCATGTATTTAGGCTCGAATTGAGATCAATTGAATTCTCTACAAATCACTAATCAATGCAGCTTCAATAGTTTCGCAACTGTGAAGCTTAAAAGTCTTGAGACAATCAATTTGAGGACCCTAACTCTCCTGCCATCCCCCAATGCAAAGTTATATTGAAAATATCATAATTTCAAGCCATTTCACAATAATTCCTATTGATTGTACCTTGTTGGATATCTTTGCAATTCTGCTCCAAAATATACACAAGTAAAAGAAGACTGCGAGATGTACAGGGTCATCCAATGACAACTGAACAAGGGCTTATTTTTAACCTTCCCTATTTTTGTAGTTTTGAAAAAATTCAAGATAGCCAATTGGCATATTTTTATTCTGGAGAATTAAAAAATGGTACAAAAAAATCATTTGAACCAAAAACCAAAGAGTTACGCCATGGGTGAACTGTTTTTCAAATGAAACTGAAACCCCTTGCGGACTTCTTTCAGATAAGGTTAATCTATGAACTGGATACAAAATATTATCAGTGCGACTATTATAAATACAAATGTCTATTTTTGAAAACACAGAATAATTTCAAATATATATAAACCATATATCGTTAATATGCCTTTTGATTCAAAAATCCCTCGACAAGATTGCAAGGGGGACATTTGATAAATAGTTCTCAGTATACGTTTTTGTATTGTAAATACATTTAGAGTCGCAGAGTTACACGCCCAAAAAATTATACCTATCATATCTGGCTGTTCCCTCAAAATTCGCAAAATACAGGGTTCTGCGGGCTGCAAGATCAGTCCAAAAATTCGTCAATATTAACACCCAAAAACTTAGTAGTACTAGTAAGGATAGTTCATGAAAATAGAGTCTGGTTTTTGTGTTTTATCTAATTTTATTCTAAACATCAAGGTTTTTGTTTTTTCTTTGTTCAAGCACAACTTGTTTCTTCTAAACCATCTTTCAGCTGATGAAAACAAGGTTTCTGCATTCTCCACCAATTTAGGAATTGTTTTTCCTCCTACCAACAGACTGGTATCATCTGCATACTCTGTTAAGTTAGAATTTTGGATGAGACCTTCGCTGTTTATGTCATTTATAAAAACTATAAATAAAATAGTTCCGAGAATACTCCCTTGTGGTATCCTGCACAATTTCTGATTTGTAGGATATACCATCTTATTTATTTATTTATTTATTCATTAGAAACTCTACAGATTTACATCCAGTTACAGAGTAGGGTAGAAGACTAACCTAAATGAAAGCAAAAATATAAAGTAAAGAGTTATCGAGCTACTCTTTAACATTAAAATCTATATTTGTAAAAATATATCATTAAGTATTAATTTCAGCCTGCTTACAGAACTTAAATTCCACATATCAAATTGTAAGCGCATTTGGTTGTATAATTTACACATTACAATAACAGGTGAGTTGTTGAAGTAATTAGTTCGAGTATTATCAGTATATAAGTTCAAAGGATTTCGTGTTCTATATGTCGGAGCATAAAATTTAATCTGGTTCAACAAATAAGGAGCATTTATCATGTTATTTAATATTTTATAAAGAAATATAATTGTAGAAACTTTCCTCCTGCCTTCAAGCGTTCGTATATTATGAGCTTTCATGATTTCTAATTTTGGTATACCTATGCATTTCATATCGCCCTGTTTCCTTGTAGTGTAAATATCTCAAAAATTTATTTTGAATTTTTTCAATACTATATTTATGGTTCTCATAACACGGGCTCCATATTATAGAACAATATTCTAATTATACCCCTCACATATGAAAAATACAGAGTTTTAACACACAATATATTGAGATCTTTGCAATTTCTGACAATAAATCCATACATTCTAGATACCCTCTACTTGTTAAGTCATTTATATGACTTCTGAATGTAAGCTGGGTGTCAAATATTATGTAGAGATCCGTGGTTTTGATGGGCTTTAATTCAGAGGCACTATTCGATTTTAAAGAGTTTATTTTCTACTTTACTATTATAGATCCATAATACCTAGGAAACGAAATACGTTAACACACCTATAACAACCTGATCCATAACGCCCGCTTTTGCGGGCGTTATGATCTATAACGCCCGCTTATAATACCTTAAGGTGTTTTTGTTGTTGTTGTTCTATTAATTTGCACTTTACCCTAGGCAGCCACTAAATGTCTGACCGAAAATAATTTTCGGTCTAGCCACGATTCGAACCCGGTCTACCATCAATGTTTCCCATGTAGTCCAGCGCGTTAACCCACAGGACCACCACCGTTGCCTTGCCTTATGAGATGTTTATAGATATATTAATTTATTTTCTTTCTATGTACAGGTCGCAGGTACAGGTACAGGTCACAGGTACAGGTACATGTCAAAATACAAAACAATATTCTGTCACACAAGTTTAACTGATTTTGTTAAGTACAAATTGATGAAAAAACATTGTGTTGAGTAGAAAATAAAGCATTGTATGCACCACGGGGATTTCAAGATTATAATGCCCTTCAGGCGAAATATATCCCTCGGGCCATAGGCCCTCGGGCTAGTTTCGCCTTCGGGCATTATAATCTACATACTCCCCTTGGTACATAAATAGCTATTTAATTGGAAATTATATCGCTGGCAAAATTAATATCGTGACAACTTGACACATACATGACAATATTATAAACTGGTTATTAGTTGTCATGGGAAACAAAATGCGTTCATAGATACCATTCTTCTTTAGATCTACATGAACAATTAATGTTCTATCATAACAAATGAATATAAGAATTGCATTTATCAACATATTACTCCAAGATCCCGCATTTCTGCAACCCTAGCCAATGCCCTCTTATTCATTGTATACTCATAGTTAAAATGCGTTTTTCTTCTACTAAAACTAAGCACAAAACATTTGTCAATATTAAATTGTAATTTATTTTTAATTGACCATAGACATATTTTGTCCAAATTATTTTTCTGAACATACTGACAGTCATTGTAGTTGTTAACTCTTGAATATAGTTTTAGGTCATCTGCAAACAATAATACTTCTGCACCACTAATTTCATCAACCAAATTATTTATATACAACAGAAAGAGCAATGGTCCGAGGTTGGATGGAGCCCTGCGGGATACCTGAAGTTGCACAAAAATAATCGGAGTAGTAACAACCCGCTGTGGTCTATTATGCAAATATGACTCAAAAAAAGTCACCAGATTATCATGAAAACCAAACTCATTGCACAGCTTTTGTACAAGGATGCTATGCGATATTCTGTCAAAAGCCTTGGCAAAATCTGTGTATATTACGTCGACCTGGCATCTTCCATCAAGGCTCTCAGCAATATATTGAGTCATCTGACACAAATTACTAGCCGTAGATTGCTTATTTAAGAAACCATGTTGTCTGACCGATATCTTGTTTTTCACAAAATTGTATATAAACTCATATAAGATGGACTCAAATATTTTGGTCGGGCACGACAACAGTGATAGGCCTATAATTTTTTACATCCGTGCTATCACCTTTTTTAAATATAGGACAAATACTTGCCTCTTTCCATGCTTGAGGAAAAGTGTTTGTTTTCAATGAAAGATTGAACAAAATTCTAAGTGGGTCTGCCAAAAAACCGATCATTCCCTTAAAAATAAATGATGGCACATTATCCGGACCAACTGCTTTGTTAACTTTAAGGCTCCTGACAGCATCACAAACATCCTCATATTCGATTTGGTCCAAACACAAAGCATCAAAAACCTGACAGTCATCCAGTATCCAGTACATCATGGATGTCAGAATGTTCAGGATCGTTGGCATAGACTGAACTGAAATATGCAGCAAACGCATTTGATATTGATTTACCATCAACAAGTTGCAAATTATTTAGATGCATTGTGTTAGGTATACCAACAACACTCTTTTTGTTATTCACATATCGCCAAAATGACCTTGAATCCTGGCTGATGTCTTGCTGAACTTCAATCAAATAATCTTTGTGTGTTTTCTCTATGTCGTTTTTTATCTTGTTTCTTAATTGAATAAATTGATTATATGTTTCTATATTTTTTGTCCTCTTACTCTTAGTTCTCAACTTCTCTTTACTCTTTATATCTTTAATAATATGTTTTGTAAAGTATACAGGATATATCTTTGAGCAATTTTTTCTTTTTGAAACACAGATGTCAAAAATATTAAATATTTTATCATAGAAATGTTTAACAGCCATATTGACATCATCAAGAGATTCCAGGTCATTCCAGGAAGCATTGTGAAACAATTGATACATAGCGTCAAAATCAGCTTTCCTGAAGTTGTAATTTTGGGAGTGACTATTCCCATTCCCTGTCAAATTTCTTTGTCTAGGGGTTTTAAACTCAATTTCTATCATAAGTGGAGGATGGTATGTATCAATGTCGACAAAACTGAAAGTACTTTCATATACCCTACATTTACTATTAGTCACAACAACATCAAGTAAGCGGTTATTACCATTTAGTACCCGATTCATCTGGTGGCAATCAAAAAATTCGAGAAAATTCAGAATCATATTTATCTGTTGATCCCTGAAGTTACCCATATAATAATCGCTCAAGTGACTAATATTAAGATCTCTCACCAATATGATTTTTTTCTGGTAAATAAATTCTTGATTTTCAATATATGAGAATAGATGCTCTCTCTCTAATAGACCACAACTAGTTGAAATATAAACCACTAATATATAAATGAAGTTGAGATCATCTACAAAGACTTTAGCCCCTAACAAATCTATGCATGGCACATCAAAATCTAAATTCAATTTACAAGTTTTGTAGGTTTTTTTGACTGCCAGTAAGACACAACCAACCATGTTTCGCTTAGAGCAATTGCATCATATTCATTTTCCGTTAATATCACTGAATGAAAAAAGTCCATTGTTTTACTATTAAGTCCACGCACATTTTGATACGCAACAGTGAAAGCTATTTCTTCTTCGGTAAAAACCTTATCATCATTAACTGCGCTCAGTTGCTCATTATCGTTCACCTCTCTGCTAAAAAATTTTCTGGAGTCAAGTAATTTGTTTGTTGCTGAAGTCTTCTGATTCTTTGCATATATACAGGACACGACGGATTTCGGGCGGAATGATTGCCTTGGGGTAAGTTTGACCTCTTACAATTAGAACAATTAAGAGCATCTGCAGACCACTGACTACTATTATGGACACCGCCACATTTATGACAACAATCATTGGCCGAGCAGTGTTTGGCAACATGGCCGAATAAACAACACTTGAAACACATTGCTACATTATTTGTATACTCCTGGACTTAGGCAGGGCAGAAGTCGAATATCAGGTTATTATTTCTAATGAGCCACTTAAATAAAGTCGGAGGAGTCTGAAATATCCAATTTTCTTTTGCGCTGTTTCTGCAGTCTTTTTTTGTCACATATTTGAACTGGTTCTGTACATTTTCAGCAAAGGTGTCTAGAATATCAGGATTATCAGCAACAAATTCATTAATGAATGTTCCTGGTGAATGTCCTTTAAAAACTCCTGTTATCTTTATCATTGGATCTAAATTAAAAATATTTTTAACCGACACATTTTTGTTAGCATTTTCAAGGGTTTCAATCAACTTTTTCTGTTGAGACGCATCTTGACATTCTATAATGACACTTCCACTCTGTAAAGGTTTGATTCTTTTAAAACGTCCATCAACATTATTTGCTTTAAGATTTAACTTAATCTCACGCATAACGATTCTAGAATCATTATTTTCTTTAAGCCTAACAATTGTTTCATGCTTTAGGTTTCGCGGTGGAGGAGACTTCCATTGAGTTACCTTTGCGCTTGATGTGGGATTGTTTCCCGCAGGTGCACTTCTTACTACATCGCTATATGAAGTTTGAGACGGTTGGGGTCGAGGTTGAGGTGAATGAAAATTGCTATTCCGGAAAGCGTTTTTGTCAGACGTTAATTCTGTGATTTTATTTTTGAGTTCCAAGTTTGTTTTCTCCGTTTGGCCTATTTTAAATGCTAAGTTTGTTACATGTTTATGTACTGTAAACAAGTCAGAGCTGGTGTTTTTGGCTTCGTTTTGTGGAATCAGTTCAATACTTTTATCTATTCTCTGGAGGGCATCTAGTATTAGAATTATTTCTGTGTTGTTCGGAACATAATGTTCATATGTACCAACTTCTGCATTGTTACTTGTAACAGGTTCTAAATAATCCAAATTGGGCTTTCTTATTTTGTTTCTGTTCTCCATTGCTGCAGGACTTGAACCAGATCTTGTTCTTTTCTGAGAGCTTATATTGGAAAGTTCTTGTTCTACTACCTCATGTTGATCATTGTTAGCCTCATTTTGCTGCTCATTGTATGTTTCAGTATTCTGGGGTGGTGTGCGTAAAAAACAATTTTTTGGTTTAAAGATCAAGTCATCATCATCCAAATTAGAGTCAAGCGTGCTAAAACTCTCCTTAGACGCACCAACATTTTTATCAGGCTGCAGCTTAGAATTTCGGCTACTGTTATCATTTATATTTATACCATTGTTATCTTGGGTATTTTTTTGCTTGGGATTAATAAAATGTGCTTCTGGTTGTTTGGAGTTTTTTATATTGACTCCAATAATTTTATTTATATCGGCATGGCTGAAATTAATGCTATCTATTCTGGAAATACCTGGCTCATTATCTGGTTTAGTATACTCTTCTCCAGTATTTTTCCTCGTGAATTCCTCCCTACCATCACTATTTAAATCCATGGTAAAATACCAAGTAATTAATTCGGATCAACACAGCTAGAAATCGCAAAAATACAGAGCAAAGTTTTAAACGCGTCCAGTCGCTACGCGCGCTGTCTTGACAGTTAACTTGAAGTTAACTTTTTGAATTACATGTAATTCCAGAAGTTAACTTTAAGTTAACTCTCAAAGCAGTTTTATATTACCCGCCCTAAGTATGACCGAAATCACTCGAGAGCGCGCCCCCTAATATCATAAATTTCCAATTTCCTGAGAAGGATATCTCTATCCAGGCAATCAAAGGCTTTAGATAGGTCTAAAAATATTCTCTCAAAATAGCCCGTGTGAACTGGAAAATTGCTGTTTAAGTGGATCTTGCTTCCATATATCCATGTTGGTTTCCTGAAAGAATCTCACACTAATGAGTCTGGAGTTATCTAACTAGTTTGAGAAAGAACTTTTTTTCTAATAAAGATATAAAGCTGAAATTTTCAGCGATTCTTATTCCAGTAGAGGACTACAATCCCTGTAAATTTCAACTCATTTGGACTTATAGTTCCTGAGATAAAATCGTGTTGAGCAATTTGGGGTGATTTATGAATTTTTCTGAGTGCCTTTTTTCATAGAATTCGACTCCAAATTTCAGAATAATTTAGTGTATGGAGTTTGGGGTATGATGATTGACCATTAGGATACAAAATCTCGACAAAAAAAAAATTGAAATTTCATCGTTTTAGTAAGAAGGTAGCTTATGATTCAGATTTTGGAAAACTTTGAAAGGTCATAACTTTTTTTATATTATAGATAGAAAGCTGAAACTTTCAGTGAATTTTATCCCTTCCAAAGGACTACAATCCCTGAAAATTTCATCTCATTTGCACTTATAGTTCCTGAGATAAAATCGTGTTAATCAATTTGGGGTGATTTATCAATTTTTCAATTTTTCTGAGTGCCGTTTTTCATAGATTTCGGCTGCAAATCTGAGAATAATTCAGTGTATGGAATTTGGGGTATGTTGATTGACCATTAGGATACAAAATCTCGACAAAAAAAAATTTGAAATTTCATCGTTTTAGTAAGAAGCTACCTACCTTATGATTTAGATTTTGGAAAACTTTGGAAAGTCATAACTTTTTTTTCTATTATAGATAGAAAGCTGAAACTTTCATTGAATTTTATCCCTTTCAAAGGACTACAATCCCTGAAAATTTCATCTCATTTGCACTTATAGTTCCTGAGATAAAATCGTGTTAATCAATTTGGGGTGATTTATCAATTTTTCAATTTTTCTGAGTGCCGTTTTTCATAGATTTCGGCTGCAAATCTGAGAATAATTTAGTGTATGGAGTTTGGGATATGTTGATTGACCATTAGGGTACGAAATCTCGACAAAAAAAAATTTGAAATTTTATCGTTTTAGTAAGAGTTACCCCGACAACTTTAATGCATCAGGAATATATTTTTTGGATACTTTGTCAGGTTTTCCAGCAATCATAGCCTCTGGTAGATTTGAGCTACTTGTTATTTCCCTATAAATAGACCACATACATTCATTTCTATTACCAGAAATGTGTATTCGATTTGCACAACTTTCTGATCTGGCTTTAACTAACAACTCATCATACTCTTTTTTAACACTGGAATACATTGCATTGTTATTATTCTGACGTTTCAACTTCAATATTATATCTAACCTATTTTTTTAATTTCGTATCTGTTGATCCCACTATTCATTAACACCCTGTATAATTTTTTGGACCGTGTGATTTGAAATTACAGTATTCAGAAAATGACTCAAGACTCTGGTTTTTGAGACTGGTAAAGATGTCTATGCAGTTTTGAGATATTGAAGTTATTCTCGTATTCTCAAATATTGTTTGGTAAAAATTTAAAGAACCTATGACAGGTAATAGCTGTGTCCTGTAATCATTATTCTCTATTAGTTCTATATTAAAATCACTTGTAATAACAATATTTTTTCTTTCATCCATAATTAAATCCTCTACAAATCTCCGATGAAAAGTTTCAATGCAACTTCAATAGTTTTGCAACTACAAAGCTTGAAAGTCCTAAGACTAATTTCAATCGGATCTAAACGTAAACAGGCTCAAACTAAAGTCTAATAAATCCTTTACAAATCCCTGATGGAAAGTTTTCGTGTAGTTCCAAAAGTTTTGCAGCTGCGATCCTTCAAAGTCTCAACACTTTGATTTCTATAAAAGTGAGTGAGCAAGAAAATTCAAAAATATGACATGTCTGGGGGAGGGTAAATCCTATTTATATAAAAAAAAAGCCTTCACTTAAACTCCCAATAAAAACCATTTTATATTTCTATTCACCTAAAATGGTAAATAATAATTCAAAGTTTTCTTTACCCGAAAAACCAAATTCGACCGTTTGCGTTATCATGACGAACATTTTTAGCCCAATTTGAACTGCCCCAGCAGACCGATCACTGGATAGAAGAAATCGTCTACTCCGATTTGCAAGAGGAAGAAGCCACCCAAAAAGTCAAACAGTACAATGAGGAGGCCAACAAAAAAGGCTATTTCAAAAGAAAATTCCCACAAAGGAACAATAGTGAGTCACGCAATATTAAATATTATTAGTACATAATATTAAAGTTTTGTACATACAATAATCATGTTGAAAATAGGGTTCCAGCCAATCCGGAACTTCCGCGGCAGACGAGGGGCCGGCGGCAATTTCAGACAAATCCGGGAGGTGCGTCCCAATTGGAACAGACCCCACAGTTCTTGGGGTAACGCCCAGCAAAACCCCAGACCTCAACAGGGTTACGGTTCATTCAGGGCCAGAGGCAATCAACAAAATAGACGCGACAGTGGCGGCTACAATAGAAACCAGGCACGAAACGCCAATAATTGGCAAAGCGGAGGCGGTAACTGGGGTAACAATCAAAGAGGTATATATTATTAATTTTGAATGAATGTCCATATTTACAAACAATAATTATTTAGGTTGGAATGCTTCATTGTACGGAAGTCAAAGTTACGGTGCCTGGAACCAAGGCAACCAACAATATGGGGCGCAAGCGCAAAGAGGCTACGGCTACAACCAGGGAGGTGAGTAATTCAAAATCAAGTTGCTTCTTTTTTTGTTATTAATTTTTTCATTGTAGGCTATGGCCAATCTTATAATCAAGGTTACGGTAGTGGTACGCAAAACTACGGGGGTCAGGGCCAAGGCTACGGGCCACAAAATTGGAACTGGAGCTACGCCCAGTATAATCAGCAGCAGCAAGGGTGGGGCAACGCTGCTCAACAGGTGAGTTTTTGAAGTTTATAGAAATAGGTCGAAATTGATTTTTTTTTTTGTTCTAGAATAAAAGGAAATAGAGAGCTTGCTGATGGGGAAGCAAGGTGTTTTGCACTGTTTGCAAAGCTGTAATTGTATATAATTAGTTTAGATTTTGAAAAATCTAATTGAATTTTATTTAGATTAACGCTTTTTTTTTACTATGAATATCTCTTGATGTACAAACAAATATTTTGATGGTATTATTTTCTTGAATGTATGTATATATTGAAGTAGTGTTTTTTTTTTATGAATGTTTCTTTGTATGACTTTATTCTAGTGCTCCTCAATTTATCCTAGATTTAATTTGTATTACGTTTAGGCAAAAATATTCAATTTCAATAATGAAGAAAATCGTATATTGTAAAATAATGGATTTTGAAATAAACCGTAGATTTATTACATGGTGTTTTTGTGCAACAAATTGAAGTTTGGAATTTGAATCAATATCCTGATGGTTCAGTTTAATGGGAGAAAATTTGTATCCATGAATTTCATCCTCGTCAGAGTACAGGTAGAAAATTTCTAATCAAAGATTGATATTTTTTGACGCAGATAGGTAAATCAAAAGACTTTGAAGCTTCACAGTTCACACTGAAGCTGCATTGAAACCATTCATTATTTATTTGTAGAGAATTTAATTGGCCTTAATTGAAGCCTAATAACGTTGAGATCGGATTGAAATTAACAAAGTTGTGAGGCAAAATATATATCAATTTCATTTTGGACCCAGCAGAAACCTTATGAGAACTGGCCATCAGTGGAATCTCATGAAATTTTGCATATTGATAGTTCTTAGCCTATAGATTAAAAGTGTCTATGGGCACAAAGTTCTAAAAATTCGTTTTCCTACGAGCATGCACAAAGTAGTACTTTTTCGCACGCATTACCGTTCTCAAAGCTACACTTTTCCGCACTCAGTGCGGATACAGGCCTTATCCGCACTGAGTGCCGAAAAGTGAAAATAATTGTCAAACAACAATAAGTGCACCTGTCGACTTTGACACATGATGACAAATTTTTCCTCTGTTTCTATATAGGTTTTTTACGCTATATTTAGGATGACGTCAGTGAACAAGGACTGACAATGTTGTCAATGCCTATTTGCTTTCTTATAATTTACGAATGTCATAATGAATTATCAAGACCACTGACAGCTAAAAATAACGAAATGAATCGACACGCGTTATTTATTTGAAAATGTTCATTTAAATCATGCAACATCGCGCGCCGTTGCCAACCAGAAACATCTGAAATTCCCCTACTTTGAATGCGTTAAGAAGTACTTTTAGTTTTGTTAGATTTGCAGCAGGAATTTACTAAATGTGACGTCATCCTAAATATAGCGTGAAAATCCTATATCAGCCAACATCAATAGTTGTAAAATTTCTTTCACACCTAGGAGGAGCTCCGGAACATCTCCGGGGCTTCACGCGCTTATTCCTTTCGAAAAGTGTTTGTTGCACCACGCATATGTTCCCTGCAAATCGGGGGCGACTAAGCACCGAAGCGAGTAGCTCGAGTGTTTCAAGCTCTTGAAAGGAATACAACTTATACAAACACTGAATATAATTAACTTTGACACATTGTCAGATTTGTGTTCTCCATTTACATGCAAGAAATCTACAAAGTTCTTCCGCATCAAATTTAAACGCTTCAAGATGAACAGCTCTGACGATGATTTCAATTTTCTGTTTTTTTGTTACCTATGTAATTTTTTGATGAATGAATAGGTTCGCTTCAAGTTAATTGAAAATACTTGAACAAATTATCGTTTTTTTTTTAAATTTTTGTTGTTACCTACCTAATATGAAGCTCGTAGGAAAAATTTTGTTCCTAACACGTGCGCAAAGTGTCTTTTCCGCACGCAAACACTTATCCGAACTCCGCTTCGGGTCGTTCGTATAACAGTGTTTGCGTGCGGAAAAGTAACACTTTGCGCACTTGTTAGGAAAATAACTATTTTTTGAGTTATAAGGTCTGTTCCCACAGGAGTCTCTGACAGCTTGCAAACTGTCAGTAAGCATCGCCCATACATGTTTTCAATCCTGTCGTTACAAGATAAATCTGTAACTTAGCTTAGCGATTGTTTCTGACAGATTGCAAACTGTCAGAGACTCCTGGGGCGGAGTTCAGAAATCACGCACAGGGTGCGAGTGCGAATTTATGGGTGTACCTGAATTGACAATTGGCCATTGGACCCATAGCACCGTCTAGCATTTGTGAACAGCTAGGGCGTCGCACCGGTGTCACACTCACACTGGGTATGTCATTCCTGAACTCGCCCCTGTGGGAACAGACCTATAGTCGTTTGAAGTTGCGTCAGTGATATATTCACTGTTTTTTTCTGTTACTTCGTGAATTTTAAAACGACATCATAGCTGGGTTCGGCTATTCAGCGCGGAGTTGGAGTGGAATGAACAGAGCTAATGGAGTCACCCCTAATACGGTAAAAAGCAATACTCGAACCTTAACCCGAACGGCTGGAGTGCGAATAGAGTTACTCGGAGTGCACGGAGTGAGCAAGCCGAACTCACCTTATAGTATCATTGTAGTATAAAGCCTAGTACTCATAACTGCGAATTTCGCACTTTTTTGACATTGCTTTGACAATTCGACGTTTTATGCGTGTATCAAACGTCAAATTGTCGAAGCAATGTCAAATAAAAGCGAATTTCGCAGTTATGAGTACTAGGCTTTAGGGTGGATTTTCATGCATCCGTTTGTCCGACGAAAGATGTCCGAAAAACATTCTATTCTGACATAATCGTATAAAAATATGTCAAAAAAGAAGATTTTTCGGACATATTTCGTCGGACAAAGGGATGCATGAAAATCCACCCTAAAGCCTAGTAGTCATAACTGCGAAATTCGCATTTTTTTGACATTGCTTCGACAATTTGACGTTTGATACACGCATAAAACGTCAAATTGTCAACGCAATGTCAAAAAAATGCGAATTTCGCAGTTATGAGTACTAGGCTTAAAGCACTCATAACTGCGAAATTCGCATTTTTTTGGCATTGCGTTGACAATCTGAAGTTATATGCGTGTATCAAATGTCAAATTGCCGAAGCAATGTCAAAAAATGCGAATTTCGCAGTTATGAGTATTAGGCTTAAGCCTAGTCTCCATAGACGCGAAATCGCGGAAAGCGAATTTTTTAAGTGTCATTTTTTGGTGGCTATTTCCGAGCAAATTATTCCCATGTCTCCATAAGCGCGAAATTCGCGTTTTATTTAACAGGTTAAGGTTACCTATGTGTTGTTGTTTGTAATCAATTTGAATTCGATTTAAATGCTTTGAATTTCAAACACTAATCTTTGAAAACCATGAAAGTGATTACTAAAAAACAAAAAAAGATATGTGTCTTGGTGTTGTCTTAATTACATTTAAGGCCCTATTATAATCTTCCTCATCAACCAGCAAGCTGTAATTTATGTCTGTTTTCGGGTCTACAATATTCAATTCTTTGGCAGTATCCATTCTTTATTAGGTATCTACAAGTATAAAACACATCAACGACTCACAGAGAACAGAGCACATACCGACAAAAACATAAACAAAACTAAACTGAAAGTAACACCACATAACCTCATTTTTTTTTGGCGAAATTTCGCGGAAAGTTAAAAAATAGTTAACTTTTTTGCGACGCCGCAAGAAGTTAAAAAATTCGCGAATTTTTCCCGCCATAAAAAAATCAAATGTTAAATGTCAAATTCCAACCAATCGGAAAATATCCGCAAAAAAAAATTCGCGATTTCGCGTCCATGGAGACTAGGCTTTAGGGTGGTTAAAACTACTTTGAGAGTTAACTTAAAGTTAACTTCTAGAATTACATGTAATTGAAAAAGTTAACTTTAAGTTAACTGTCAAAGCAGTTTTATGATACCCGCCCTTAATACGTTTTAAATTCTACAGTTCTTTTCACGTGGCTCCGGATTAACTAACCGGGTTACAAAAGGGTTAGAGAAATGACATACCGTTTTCTAACCTGAAGCTTTATTCTTGACTTTATCTAGGTAGAAAATTTGACATTGTTAACAGTTAATGCACTGTTTAACTGTCAACACAGTCAAATTTTCTCTCAAGAGAAAGTCAAGAATAAGGCCTCTCTGGTTAGAAAGTGATGTGATGGATACCTACCAGAGGCCTTATTCTTGACTTTCTCTCGAGAGAAAATTTGACTGTGTTGACAATTAAACAGTGCATTAACTGTTAACAATGTCAAATTTCCTACCTACGTAAAGTCAAGAATAATGCCACAGTCGAATTTGAGCGGTACGATGATCTAAGGCGGTATGTTGCGGTTTGTTAAACCGGAGCCACGTGAAAAGGGTTATAGGGTTGCGTTTAGGAATAGCACTCTAAAATAGGTGTGAGAGTGACCCTAGAGTAGTAACTCCGTTCATAAATTAACAGGTGCTCACTAGCGTTAACGCTGGAATCGTTCAGTAATCGAGAGTTGACGTGCCTAGAGTGCGCCAAAATTACCCCACTCAGGGACTGGGTTGAGAAACGCCCCGTGGTTTTTACCGGGTTTGTCACGTTGACTTACAGCAACGCCCCAATAGTTGTATTCCTTTCACACCTTTGAGGAGTTTTTAAAATTTGACATATTTGACACTAAGGGCGGGTATTATAACACTACTTTGAGAGTTAACTTCTGGAATTACATGTAATTCGAAAAGTTAACTTCAAATTAACTGTCAAAGCAGTTTTATAATACCCGTCCTAAGACAGGCGTCTCACGCCATGATACTGGAACGGTACAAAACTAACGCCCCTCTAGAGCGCGCCAATGTGCATACTGAGCTGCTTTCCAGTATACACACGCAGTTATGAGCCCAACGCAAAAGAGAACTGAGTGTTAAAACGAACAGGATTTTATCGTTTCGAGCGCGCTCAGAGTTTACAGAGTGTAAAGCCGAACTCCCTATTAAATGTACGAAAGCCAGCGCATATCTGTCCCTCTCAAATCGGGGTCCGGAACGAGTAGCTCTAGTGTTCTAAACTCTTGAAAGCAATACAACTTATATCGATATATAGGATGTCCCGGATAAGTAAGCACTCTACAAGGATATCGGATCTCCGTAACCCTAATTAAGAGATACAGGGTTGGTTGAATCTAAAATTAAAATCTTAATAATACTATCGTGCATTGGAGAAAAAGTGACAATGAGAATGTGAAGTTAATTTTGCGATATCATTTCAAATAAAGGCGGAAAAAAATAAAAACGATTTCGGCAAAATTCGGTTTTTCAATTTTTTATGGATATCTTCGAAAACATTCGGAATTTCCGAAATATCAATACAGGACGCCACCCTGTAGAGTCTATCCTTATCTGGGACAACCTGTATACAGATACGATCTTGAACTTCATTTTTTGTCCTCTAAGGCTTTTGAATTTCATTTATCGACTTTATTTCCATAAATTCAAGAGCCGGGGGAATATACAAAAATTGAGCTATTTAAAAAAGTTGAAAAATAAAAGTAAATCAAGTCGGGGATTCTAAAATCACGATTCGACATACGACTCGATAGCGAGACGATTTTTCCGACGATTCTAGGTTAGAAATTTCATTGGAATTATACCTTTCGACACGACAAGGCCGGTATCGTTGTCGAGTCGTGTGTCGAATCGTGATTGTAGAATCTCGGCCCAACACTGGTCCAGAGAACTGGTACCGAACAGGTTTTACTCCAGGGCAAGAATTGCTGCTCCAAATTCTCAATGAGATTCAGAACTGATCTGGGTTAACAAGTAATTGCACTGATGCTGTACTATTGCTAACTAATGGAATTCGCTCTTGTTTATGTAGATTGAGAGCCGCACTGACCTACTGAGCTAGATAATTGAGAAATTGTAGCCAGAATTTTTCTTTTTTTTCCGCTCAAAAATCCATAACATTTGAAGTTCCCACCAAATTTTTAACCGGAAATTCTCCAAATCGACGGTGCACGTACAACCTAACCTCAAATAAAAATTTTGACTTTGACGTTTCTTTCCATTTCGTTTGCCTTTTCGCAGGTCGATCTTGTTGTTTTCGCACGTGTTTCCAACGAATTTTGGAATAAAATGGATAAACCCGTAGTTTTGGCACGTGTAATCAAAGTGTTGGGCCGTACAGGATCCCAGGGACAATGTACCCAAGTCAAAGTCGAATTTATCGGCGAGCAAAATCGTCAAATTATCAGGAACGTAAAGGGGCCCGTTAGAGAAGGCGACATCCTCACTTTGCTTGAATCCGAACGTGAAGCTAGAAGATTAAGATAGGACTTTGATGGTAATTTTTACTATTTAATTTCAAAAAAAAAATGCTTAATTTGTTTTTTTCGTTTCAGCTTTATATTTCAACAAAATCAGAAAATGTAGGATCTACAGCTGGCTTCATTTATGTTTAATTCATAAGTAATACTATTATACATTAAATCAAAGAATTCCTACAACTAAAGGCTAGTTTTATTAAAATCCTCATAATATTTCATTCATTCTTCAAATAATCCTTGATAAACGCATCTGCCTTGTCCCAGTTAAGCATTTTGTTGGCTTTAGCAAAATACTTATTGCCATTAAGTGCTCCCTTGCCTTCCAAAATATTGCAAACCCTGTGCAGTAAAAATTTCAATAATATCACACAAAAAACATGGTAATTAAACATACTCTTGTCCAAGACATTTAACGTCATTTTCTGGTCCATAAAGTACAAAATTGCCAACAGTTTTTGGATCTCCAACACCCAAAAACAACAATAAATCCTTCCTTTTGGCACACTCCCTTATAAGTGTGTTAATAAAATCAACATCTCCAATTTCTCTGAACATTGAAAAATAGTTTGTTGTTGAGTTTTTTAGTTTTTCTGCAATTATTAAAGCAGCATCTCGGTTGGCAATTTGCAAGTTTTTAGTCAAAGTTTTGACGTTTTTTTGCAGCTTTTCCACTAGGTCAGGATGTTGCAAAGAATTGTTCCTATATTAATTAAAAAATGTACTAAGTTTTAAATTAAAAAAAAAAAAAACAACTTACTTTAAAATAGTAGTTAATTTTCTTTCTGTGTCAATACATTGCGACAATTTGTCTAAAACTCTATTGCCAACCAAAAAATAAAGAAAAGTTTTGTCTTTTCTTTTGCTTTTTTCGCTGTGCAATAACTTGACCATTTGCAATTGGCTCAAGTTGGTAACGTGAGTGCCACAGCACATATTTCTTTCTAAATCTTCAATATTAATGACTCTTATGTCACCTTTGTGGTCTTCTGGAAGTCCTCTTGCACGCACCTAAAATAACTAATTGATTTTGTAAATTAACATTTTTATTTTTACTTGTTTTAATTCTTCTTCTGGTGTATCTTTAGTATAAACTTCTACAGTAACTTTTTTGCCATTCCTTATTAATTCATTAATTTTTCCTTCAGCTTCTCTTATTTGATTTTCTGTTATACTTTTTGTATCTAGAATTCTATTATTTAGGAGTTGATTTGAATTAATAATAATAATCACTATACCTAATTCAATGTAAGAAACATCTTCTCCCAACCACCAACTAACAGTTGGAAATTCAAATTCCTTATCAATAAGGGCAGTAATGAGATGTTGGCCAGAATGCTGTTGCATATGGTCAAAGCGTCTTTTCCAGTCAATAGTCTGCTTGACTTCTTGGCCCAAAGAAAATCCTTCTTTGGTAATGTGTATTGCTTTGTCAGCTTTGCGAATAACTTTGTTGACTGGGATCGAATTGAGGAATCCATAGTCACAAGGCTAAAGGGTGTAAAATTAAGTTTATTTACAATCATACATGTAATGTTGAATTTACTGACTTTTAAAAAGTTCGAAAATGTCACTTTTTTGACTTTCACTTTCGGCCCACGAAAGTAAACTTTCGACCCGTTGGCCGAAAGTAAATGAAATTTTTAAAATTTATTGTATTTTTTGACTTTTACTTTCGGCCCACGGGTCGAAAGTAAACATTCGACCCGTGGGCCGAAAGTAAATGAAATTGTTAATTATTGTATTTTTGAGTTTTAATCCAAATGAAAATTTCAAAATTCGAATGATTGTAAATAAAATAGTTTACATACCTCGGTGAAAAGTTTCAATACTGTCTCGAGATTTCAGTTAGACCTCAGCTGCGCCTCGGTCTAACTTAAATCTCTCGACAGTAATGAAACACTTTCCACCTCGGTATGTAATATACTATTTTCTGACTGATAAAATGTTGAAAATGTTTACCTGGCCGCCTCCTTCTGGAAATAGAATGGTGTCTTCTAGAATGACTTCGTATTGGTCTTCTTTTGGGGGTTTTTTAGGGTCCGGAGGAACTTTATCGCATGATACTACTTTTGAAACAAACTAAAATAAATGGGTTTTGGTTGCGAATGAATTATTAGAGCTACAGTAAGTTACCTCTTTCAAATACGAATCACTTTGGCATTTAAAAACCATTTTAATGTGAATATGAAACAAAAAAATTTCTTGTAAACAACAAATAACATAACCCTATTTTTATTTTTGACTTTGACGATTCTTTCACTTTCCTTGTCTAAATAAATATGAAAGAAAAAGATAAAAATATTTTGTCAATGTTGCCAACTCTTTTAAATCAAATGTCAGTAATGTAATGGCAACATTGTTATCCATCAATGAAAAAATATAAACAGTTCGATTATTTTTATTTTCCCTGGGAGAATTCTCACTGCAGGTGCGTTTCTGGGTTTAATTTTCAAGAATTTCAGGGGAATTTAATTGCTTTTGTGGTCTGTATTTACAGAATTGTAGTTTTTATTGGTGAATACTTGAAATCAGAGCTGCACAGGGGCCCAGCCAGTGCCTGGTAAGTGAGTTTTTGTTCTATTTTCAATTAACTTTTGTATTTAATTGATGAAATTATTAATTGGAATGATAAAACTAGCGATGAAGGCTTCATTATTTAAGAATTTTCATGTTAGAAGTATTCAGTATTAAGCAGGGTTGGCAAAAATCTGGCTAGTTGTATTAGGTAGGCATAGTGGATAGAGAATAATTGAATTTCTGATGTTTTTGGTAGATATTTGTGTTTATCATCTTCGAACAAATAGGATAACTACAGAGGTATCAAAGAGTGCTTAAGAACATTTGGAAGATTTCAGATGAACTCTAGAACACCCCAGTGCTTCAAAATTATTAAGGAACCAATTAAAAACAATTATTATAAGTATTTTGAAAAGCTTCAGAATGTGCTAGCGCCAAGTTAGAACATTTTCAAGACGCTCTACAGCAATTTAGAACTTTGATAAACTTCTGAAGGGTTTCAATTCAATTTTCAATCCTCCTGCATTTGTTTGAGACAAATTGAAATCTCTATGAACATTGTTAAACGTTACAAAACACTTTAGAACCAATTTAAAATTATAGAGACATTCAAAAACAGACCAAAACACTTCTGAACATTCGGCAACATTTTAGAAAGCTTTTGGAACAATCTAGAACATTTTACAAATCATGTGAAACTTTTGGAAACAATTTAGAACTGGAAACTTTTAGAATATCTCAAAAATCGTCACAACAAAAAACTTCCATGAACATGTAAGAACACTCTAAAACACTTCTGAACCTATTTTGAATTTCAATTGGAACTACCAAAAAGCTCTTAAGAATATTTGAGAGATTTCTGATCACTTTTAGAAGATTCTGTGCTTTGAGAGCATTGAGCAATCAATTGTCAACTTTGGAAAGCATTTTAAAAAGTTTCAAAATGCGCTTGTACCAATTCTTAATTAATAGGCTTATAGAGAATTTAATTGGCTTTAATTTGAACCTAATTACTTTGGCTTCAATAGTTTTGCAGCTACAAAGTCTTTTGACTATGATTTTTCCCAAAATGACACATTTTGCCTAACAACTTTGTTAATTTCAATCCGATCTTAACGTAATTAGGCTTCAATTAAAGCCAATAAAATTCTCTACAAATCTTCTATGAATGGTTTCAATGCTGCTTCGATATTCTTGCAGCTACAAAGTCTTTTAACTATGATTTTTCTCAAAATGACACATGTTGCCTCACAACTTTGTTAATTTCAATCCAATCTTAGGGTAATTAGCCTTCAATTTAAGCCAATTAAATTCTCTACAAATATTCTCTGAATGATTTCGAAGCAGCTTCAATAGTTTCGCAGCTACAAAGTCTTTTCATTGTGATTTTTCCCAAAATGAAATATTTTGCATCAACACTTTATTAATTTCCAAGGAGTCAACCACTCATTAAAAAACGTACAGTGATTTTCAGTTTCTGGGAATACTTTTCAAATTTTGACAGTATTTCCAAATATTCCTTGGTATTTCCAAGTATTGTGTGGTACTTCCAAGTATTTCTAAATATTCCTAGATATTTCCAAAGCATTTCCAAAAACTAAGGGTACTTGCATGAAAAATTAAATTGATTATTGTTTATTGCAAATTGTAGAAAATCGAAAAAAAATCGATCCATATTTTTTTATTTTGTCCAAATATGATTATTCCGAAAGTTATACAAATATTAAGTTTTGTATATATAGATATACCTACTGAGCATGTGCGACGTCACTAAATTATATGATAAGTGACGTCATAGGTATATTTCATAGCGTTGTATCTCCGTCAATTTTTAACTGAGAAGAAAAAGAAAAAACACGTGTTGACTTTTTTTTTATCGACTAACGACATCAGCGATGAAAAAAATTGATGCAAGTACCCCATTAGGGTCAAAATGTTAATCATTAAACTGTCGTTGAATGTCCTTCAAATGGAAATAGGAATAGTTGCCTCTATCACATTCCTATGAAGAGATGTCCCTGAATTGTTGGATAGTTCTCTAAATACACGGTGCACCCACCACTTTTTCTTATCCTAGGTTATATCTATTATCTCTTTTATTTTCAAATCTTTAGGTATTTAGGAAATTTAATAAAGGTGTTAGGTGTTTAATCAAAAATCGCTCAGATACGTCAATTTTTGTTTTTTGGGGGACACATTTTATTGGTATTTTCACCCCCTACCTGTGAACCCCTAAGTGGGGGTGACAGGTACCCATAAAATTTCAAATGAAAAGGGGGGTCGAGTGATACGTCATTTGATAGCTATTTTCATTATGATTATATTTCCGAAGTTTTAAGTTGCTACTTTTTACCCTGTCGAAATGGCGGCTTGTCAAAATTAGGAAAAATCAATGAAAAAATGCTGTGTGGTTTTTACCTGTTACCTACGTATAGGTGTGACAGGTAAAAACTATACAGCTTAGATTATCGAAAAAAAGCATTTATCCTAACTTTGACATGCCGCCATTTCGGCAGGGTTAATAGTAGCAACTTAAAACTTCGGGGATATAATTTCAATGAAAATATACCTACCAAATGACATATCACTCGACTCCTCTTTCCATTTGAAATTTTGGGGGTACCTGTTACCCCCACTTAGGAGTTCACAGGTAGGAGGTGAAAATACCAATAAAATGTGTCCCCAAAAAAACAAAAATTGACGTGTCTGAGCGATTTTTGATTAAACACCTAACACCTGAGAAAACCTGGGTGGAAAGTTTTTCGTGCCCCACCCGGTATAATACCTATTGTATTACAGTAGATATTGCATAATCAAACATACATTTTTGAAAATCGTTTAAGTAACTTCATGTTTTTTCGTTATAAGTATACTTAACTGTACATAATAGTTACTTTCTAATCCAGTATTTAATGATGGACTCCAGGATGGATCAGGTTCACTTTCAGTCTCAAACTTACTCTGCACCTCCATTTCTGAGATACTGGACTCACTTGATTCATCAGTGTCTGATAATGGTCGGATATTCTCAATCTTTTCTTTATATTTTTTCTCTGATTTTCTCTTAAGGTGTTTGCCTCAGATGTAGATTGATCAGATCTTTCGTCTTTTTATTTTTTGATCTGCTGGTTTCTGGTTTGGTACATATGTGTTCTTCTCGTTTGTGCACTTGTAACCGAGCTCGTAGGTCCCACGCTCCCCCAAGTTAATACCTATAATTCCATATCTTTACGTTTTTCTTTTAATATTGCATTTTTAAGGGTTAGTTTACGTCAGAAATGCATGGTGTGACACACAGATTGTGTGACACATCATTTTGAAGAGAAAAAAAAAGACGAATTTTTTGGGATTAAATTATACAGGATATCTCCTCCAAAAGTACTAAGCTTGGGCTATGTCTTGAAAGCCAGTTGCCTAAAAAAAATTATTGACTAAAACTTTGGATTCTATGTTTCATTATTTATTCATAGCAGTTTTCAGCTTTTTTCTATCATACAGGGTGTTCGAAATATGATACCACCCCAAAAAGCGCAAAATTTCTATTTCACCCTGTATCTCGGGAACGAAACAAGGTGGCGCAATTCTATTTACAGTATCCAAAGTTTCAGGAAAAACTGATACAGGCGAAAACCACAAAGTTCTATCTCTGCTGATCACTGAGAAACCCTTTAAATTACAAGCAATTTGGGACACAGTGTACAGGGTGGTCGGCCCGGAGGTTAGTTTAAGAGATGCCTAGATATGCCGTAATAAATTCCTGAGTAAACTGTTTATAAATTTTAGATAGATTATATTTTAGTAACGAACTTGTACGCAATTCTTGCGATTTTAATAAAAATGCCCAAAAATATGTTAAAAATAAGGTTGGAAGTTATTGAAATTTATCAGTACTTCCATGTATTTCCATTTAAATATTTCTATGTAGTTCTAGAGTATTTCTATGTACTTCCAGAGTATTTCCAAGGTATTCCCAGAGTATTACCAAGTATTTCTAGGTACTCCCAAAGTATTCCCAGCAAAGTGTACAGTGATTTCCATGAGTGATTCACCCCTCGTTAATTTCAATCCGATCATAACGTAAGTAGCCTTCAATTAGAGCCAATTAAATTCTCTACAAATCTCCTGTGATCGATTTTAATGCAGCTTCAATAGTTTTGCAGCTATAAAGTCTTTTGACTATGATTATTTTTCCCAAGATGACACATTTTGTCTCACAACTTTGTTAATTTCAATTTCAATCCGACCTTAACGTAATTAGGCTCAATTAAAGCCAATTAAATTCTCTACAAATCTATTGTGAATGATTTCAATGTAGCTTTGATCTTTGAAATCGGATTGTGAGGCAAAATGTGTTTCAAAGTCATTTTATAAAAAAATTAAACTTCCAAAAAACAACATTGAAGGACGTTTTATGTTTTCTTTGAGGAAAATGTTTGAAAAATTAGATTGAGAAAGATACACAAGTGGACGGGGAAAAGGTTGAAATACATATAGGAAGAAGAATAAACCGAGGAATAAACAATTCTTTCTTTTGCTCACTACATTTCCAGAAGCTGAAAAATGTCTCAAAATCTATTTAAAAAAACTTTCGAGCTGTTTATGGAGTTTTAAAGCTAAAACAATTATTTTGGAAATTGAAGAAGCTAGATGAGTGATTTTAAGTATTCCCTATGTGGATTAAAGTTTTGCAAGTGCATAGGAAAAAGTTTATTTATTTATTTATTCATCATATAAACGGGTTGTCAGTACCTAATCGTACATGTACTTAACAACATTAAAATTATAGAAGAAGAAATAACATATAATAAAAACATTAAAAAAGACTTAAACAAGTACAAACATACTAAATACAATGTTAACACAATAAAGAAACGGACATTTGACAATTTGATGACTTATGGGACCATAATGAACCAACAAAATTTTCCTTCTAAATTAATAAAGGTATCAAAGGTCCGTTTGGATGTTGAGGCATTGAGACTTCTGTTAAATAGATCACCATCAAATGAATTTCCCGTTCTCATTATCCTGGTCAGAGGAGAGTTGGCCATAGGAAATTCTGTGAAATTTCAGTTCAAATGTTTTACCTTCCCTTCAAGTTCGCGAAGGCACATGAAATTGGATTGATTCTAGTAATTCTGAACAGTCAATGTGATTAGATATAATTTTAAAACATATCAAAGTATCTGATGTCTCCCTTCTCCTTTCTATACTGTGCAAATATATAGTCTTTTTTACTAGTGTGTAATTTAAATTGTCAGATGATAACCCCTTCTTAAAAAACAATATATTTTAGAAACTTTCTCTGTACACTTTTCAACTTTTTAACATATGTTTGAAAGAATGAGTTCCAAATGACAGAACAGTTTTCTTTAGTATTTCTCTTGACAAAGCCTAACATACGCATGGCTTTGTTATACCTAACAGTTCTCTATATGGGCAGAAAATGTAAGTTTATAATCTATTAATACTCCAAGATCTATAATTATGTTCAACTTCTCCAAATATTTGTTATTTATTTTATAGCAATATTGCTGTCGGAAACCAGGATGATCTACTAAACTTAATCCACTTACACTTATCTACATTGAGAATCATTTTATTTTGAATACACCATTCTGAAAATCTATCCAAATCTTCTTGGAGTAGATTGGAACTATCTTGATTTGTTATGCTGTTAGACCTTCAAATCATCAGCGTATAAAACAAATTTGGAGTGCACGAAGCAAGTCTGAATGTCATTGATAAATACATTGAATAAAAAAGGGGACAAATGCCCTCCTTGTGGTATGCACTACCATACTTTAATGGAATCCGACAGTGTATTTTTGATTTTTACAAGTTGCACCCTATCTGTGATTCCAAAAAGTGACAATTTATTTATTAGTATAGTGTGATTTATCTAAGATCTCGACAAAAAAAAAATTGAAATTTCATCGTTTTAGTAAGAAGGTACCTACCTACCTTATGATTAAGATTTTGGAAAACTTTGAAAGGTCACAACTTTTTTTCTATTATAGATAGAAAGATGAAATTTCCACTGAATTTTATCCCTTTCAAGGCACTACAATCCCTGAAAATTTCAGCTCATTTGCACTTATAGTTCCTGAGATAAAATCGTGTTAAGCAATTTGGGGTGATTTATCAAATTTTCAATTTTTCTGAGTGCCTTTTTTCATAGATTTCGGCTTAAAATCTGAAAATAATTTAGTGTATGGAGTTTGGGGTATGTTGATTGACCATTAGGATACAAAATCTTGACAAAAAAAAAATTGAAATTTCATCCTTTTAGTAAGAAGGTACCAAGTATTTCTACCTACCTACCTTATGATTTCGATTTTGGAAAACTTTGAAAGGTCATAACTTTTTTTCTATTATAGATAGAAAGCTGAAACTTTCACTGAATTTTATCCCTTCTAAAGGACTACAGTCCCTGAAAATTTTGGCACATTTGCCCTTATAGTTCCTAAGATAAAATCGTGTTAAGCAATTTGGGGTGATTTATCAATTTTTCTATTTTTCTGAGTGCCTTTTTTCATAGATTTCGGCTTCAAATCTGAGAATAATTTAGTGTATGGAGTTTGGGGTATATTGATTCACCATGAGGATACAAAATCTCGACAAAAAAGAAATTGAAATTTCATCGTTTTAGTAAGAAGGTACCTACCTCATCATTTAGATTTTGGAAAACTTTGAAAGGTCACAACTTTTTTTCTATTATAGATAGAAAGCTGAAACTTCCACTGAATTTTATCCCTTTCAAGGCACTACAATCCCTGAAAATTTCAGCTCATTTGCACTTATAGTTCCTGAGATAAAATCGTGTTAAGTAATTTGGGGTGATTTATCGATTTTTCAATTTTCCTGAGTGCCTTTCTTCATAGATTTCGGCTTCAAATCTGAGAATAATTTAGTGTATGAAGTTTGGGGTATGTTCATTGACCATAAGGATACCAAATCTCGACAAAAAAAATTTGAAACTTCAATATTTTAGTAAGAAGTATGATTTAGATTTTGGAAAACTTTGAAAGGTCGCAACTTTTTTTCTATTATAGATAGAAAGCTGAAACTTCCACTGAATTTTATCCCTTTCAAGGCACTACAATCCCTGAAAATTTCAGCTCATTTGCACTTATAGTTCCTGAGATAAAATCGTGCTAAGCAATTTGGGGTGATTTATCGATTTTTCAATTTTCCTGAGTGCCTTTCTTCATAGATTTCGGCTTCAAATCTGAGAATAATTTAGTGTATGAAGTTTGGGGTATGTTCATTGACCATAAGGATACCAAATCTCGACAAAAAAAATTTGAAACTTCAATATTTTAGTAAGAAGTATGATTTAGATTTTGGAAAACTTTGAAAGGTCGCAACTTTTTTTCTATTATAGATAGAAAGCTGAAACTTCCACTGAATTTTATCCCTTTCAAGGCACTACAATCCCTGAAAATTTCAGCTCATTTGCACTTATAGTTCCTGAGATAAAATCGTGTTAAGCAATTTGGGGTGATTTATCAAATTTTCAATTTTCCTGAGTGCCTTTTCTTCATAGATTTCGGCTTCAAATCTGAGAATAATTTAGTGTATGAAGTTTGGGGTATGTTGATTGACCATAAGGATACAAAATCTCGACAAAAAAAAATTTGAAACTTCAATATTTTAGTAAGAAGTATGATTTAGATTTTGGAAAACTTTGAAAGGTCATAACTTTTTTTCTATATAGAAGCTGAAACTTCCACTGAATTTTATCCCTTGCAAGGCACTACAATCCCTGAAAATTTCAGCTCAGTTGCACTTTTAGTTCCTGAGATAAAATCGTGTTAAGCAATTTAGGGTGATTTATCAATTTTTCAATTTTTCTGAGTGCCTTTTTTCATAGATTTCGGCTTCAAATCTGAGAATAATTTAGTGTATGGAGTTTGGGGTATGTTGATCGACCATTAGGATTATTTTATCTTGTCAAATCCCTTTGAAAAATCGATGTAAGCTGAATCTACGTCATATCCCAGTTGGAGTTGATCAATTATGAAGTTAGTGTACACTAGCAGATTTGATACTATTGATTTATTTCGCACCAAACCATGCTGATTAGGTATGATTCAGTTTTTAGTGCAGTACATAATACAATGACTGGTAGCAAGTCCTATAACATAATATATCTAAAATCCCTAATTTGGTTCTATACTATTTCTCTATAAGTATTATTTATGTTTGTACGTCAACAAAATTTATTTAAACTACCCAACTAACACTATGTAATATGCCTAATATTAATGGTTAGACTCAAATGCTGTTTTGATAATAGTAATGATCACGAAAACAAAGAGCAAAGATAGAAAAACAATATAAAAAAAAATAACAGTACTTATGTAAACTAAAAACGTTAGAGATCCAATGGAAAAAAAATATGTTATTTTTATTCTCATTGTTTTCAAAAATAGGGATTATATAAGTTGCTTTCCACTTTTGAGGAAAAATACCCGTTGACAGTGAATTATTAAACAAGATCCATAATGGCCTTGTGAGATAAAATGAGCAATTTTTTAAGAATATTTGGGGGATATTATCAGGACCTGGTCCCTTAGTTGAGATTACCGAGTCCAATCTACTCATAATAATATCAGAAATTTTAAAATGAAAGGAGTTAACATTTAGATCATTAAAAGATAGATAGTTTTTTGCTTGAATATTGTCATCACTGACATACACAGATGAAAAGTGAGTGGCATGGGCATTTGCAATATCAGCAGGACTTGAAAATTCTTGATCCTGATATTTGAGTAATTTAGGAATATCACTCTGGTCTTTTTTAGAATCCACATATTTCCAGAAAGATTTAATATTTAATCTAATATCACGTTCAATCTTTTTAATGTACCTAATCATTATAATTAGGTATTAGTCGATAGAATTTTACAATATTATGTTCTGATATTGGAACAAAGGAAGGAAAGTTTCTCGGAAAGTTTTAAAAAAATTTATGGGCTAATTTTTTTTCAATAGTAAGTTGGACAAATTCATCCAAACAACGATCTAAAATTGCATAAAACCTATCTACTGCTTGTTCTCTTTGCGATTTTTCGACTTTGAGGCATTGACACTGTTAGTTTTTTCCTCTGGATGTAGAAATCATTGTGACTTTCGTGTCAATCAGAAATTTCTTAAATGGTAATGGCAGCAATGGAAAATGGAATAATTGCCAATAAGTTATCAAATTCCCTTTTTTTTTTGGAGAAAGTAGTTCACTCCCCACTAAAAACAACTTTTATTTAGTAAATTTTCCAAATTTTTATAGAAATTGTTACAAAATATCATGTCTGTTTTTGCAGGTTCACAAATCACAGGTCACACTGTTTATTAAAATCCCCAAATTGGTATCACTTAATATTTGACCTTTGACTCTATAAAATTTACATTATTTCATATCACAGCAAACCAAATTCGAATTCGATATTGTATCAGTATGCAGAGGCAAGTTGCACTCTATACTAATTTAATTAATGTAGAAAATTGATTTTTTCATTATAATGCCATCATATAAGTTGTGTGTAAAAGTGAATGCATTTGTTCCGCAAAAAACTGGTAAGAAATTATTCAAAAAAACATATGTTTATTTAAAACTAATCAACAAAACAAAAAATCAACAATAACTGTCAGTCTTAAATTCTAATGATGGTATTTATCGTGATGGTAAACAACCTTATACACTGGAACTTTAACTGGTACAGGCCTGCTGATCCTTACTGGAACGTGTTTTTCTACCGGAACGGGCACCGGTTGCTCGACATGATAATGAACAATCTTCTCTACTTTATAGGGCACGGGTTTCTCAATTGGAACAGTAATCGTTTTAATAACAGGCACCGCAACAGGATGGGGCACTTTAATGTGAATCGGGTAGGGTTGAGCAACTGGCACTGCCACAGGTTTCGGTACTGGTACCGGCACCGAATGAGGAATTTCAACGGTTTCGTGTCGGTAAACTGGTACCGGGACGTGTTTGGTTACTTCGACTGTGTGTTGGATTTGATTTTGTCCAAAGTTGTGTTGTCCGTAAGCTCCAGCATCTTGTTGTCCATGTTCAAATCCACCAAAATTATGTTGTCCGTAACCTCCAGCATTTTGTCCGTAACCGCTTTGTTCATATCCGCCAGAGTTGTGTTGTCCGTAATTTTCTTGCTGTTGTCCACCACCGCTTTGACCGTATCCTTCAAAATGTTGCTGAGCTCCTTGTTCATAACCACCAACATTTTGCTGCTGATGTTCGAATCCAGCATTTACTCGAAACACTAAGACACTAAATACTGTTATAGTTTTTAATAAATTCATATTGCCACTGTGAGATTTAGGCAGACAACAAAATGAATGGTAATCTTTTTTTCTCGACCGGACTATTTATATGGGTAAACATACTTTCACTATCTCTTCTTGAAGCAGATTATTAGATTGCAATAATTTTGTTTTGTTACATAACTGATTTATTTAACAATCCAATCTTCTTGCATTTATATGGTACACCCAGTTTTGGCAGGCACGGACTTTAATGAAAGTCTGGTTTGAATACACATTGAAAATTGAAACCGAGGCCTGATCTGTTCAAGTTTAGTTCCCATGGCCAGAGGATGGTAGAATTCGGACCACGGGTAGATGAACTTCCGATATTTATTGCACACCTTGGGGGTACTATTACGCGATTTATTGCTTCATTATAGAGGAACAACGGATTTATTGGGTTTGGTATTTATTTTAGTCGGCTGATTCACTTTACGAATCATTATTTCAAGATGTTATTGTATCAAAACTTTTTTTATCTTGTCAACCACAAAACTATGACAAAACGTTGAATGTTAATTATTGTAAATAACTTTGATTAAAAATTATCTTCTAATTAACATCTGCTTATCTAGAATGATTTAATTTACGTGAAACTACAAAACATAAGGAATTGCACCTAAAATTCTGTTTTTGGACTGAATTCAGAATTTCCCACTGATTGCATTTAATTATTTAATAAATAGAATTATCAAATTCTTATAAGTCTTTGAGGAATTTCCACAGCCTGCATTTACTTCATTCTAGATTATATTGAAGTTGAATTCAACACACATGCTATTTGGATGTATATGTATATCGTATATACAAACACATTTTCAACAGCACCAATTAGAACATCTGCAACATTTTACTGTCTATTTCCAATGTTAACAATCTATGATTTACGGTTTTTTAAAAGCCCACATTTAAGTAGGCTACATAAATTTTCCAATGTATACAAAATACTTTGTAATTTTCAAGTAGATTCCACATTGGCAACTTAAACCGTTGGTTTTAAGCAGATGTGAGGCGGTTTGTACAATAGACTCAAGGTGTACTCAATTTATTAATTGACGAGCTCTCAATGGCATAATTATTAGATATGGAAGGTCAGGAGACGATGTTTGTAATTATTTGAGTTAAAAGTAACCAATTCATCCTTTTAAAATAATACAACTTTTATTTATAAGATGTTAAAAGAATCTTTGAAGTTTTTGGAATCCATTTTTCGATTTCCTTTACAAATCCTGAAGATATTACAAAGTTTTTTGCTGATAAGAATCAACAAAATAAACAAACTATGATCCTATCAATTCAATCATTCAACCTTTACTAACAAATACACGCAGACTAAAAGAAAATTGTGTCAATTGCTAATTCTTTTTTTCTTACTAACACACAACAATAATACGTAATTAATCCTAATAAACATTAATTATTATTCTGGGAACATCACTTTGCAACTAATTAACTCGCTAGTTAGGTTTTTCAGTTGAATGCAAACTTTTTCTATATACCAAACATCAGCAATGTGAAATGTTTACATTTCTTGGTGTTTAGTTGATAGTATGCTATTTCGCTATCGGAAAAGGAAATGTGCGTTTTACAAAAGGTAGTCACGCTCTTTGTTTCTTTTATTATCGCCCTGCTTATTTCCTGTACGGGTACTTTGCTAGAAGCTTGAAAATTGTAATGTTACAACATGGGTTCCAGGCATATTCGTTTTTTTGGCGCGGTAAGTGATTTTATAATACAAGAGTAACCCAATACTTAAAAGTAAAGCAACAGCAATTAATATTTTCATTAAGAAAGAATGAATCTACTCAAGATTATAGTATTGAATTTCTTGTTTCTTCATTCATATTTTATGTTTCTGTGATCTTGTATTAATATGTATATAAAATTTTAATAGGCTTGCTTAAGAAATAGTTATTTGGGGCACTAAGCCCTAGGGCTAAACGATTTTGAGAAAAAATATGAAAATCCTTCGCATATTCTCCATATTTATTGTCTTCTAGAAACCTTTTTGAGAAAATGAATTTGAAAATTCTTTATCAGTGTCCTATTCAATATTACTTAACTAAACTAAAATTCTCAAGAAGAAAAATTTTGAAATTACATCGTTTTAGTACTGAGGTAGCTACTTGATTTAGATTTTGGAAAACTTTGAAAAGTCATAACTTTTTTTCTATTATAGATAGAAAGCTGAAACTTTCACTGAATTTTATCCCAATCAAGGGACTACAATCCCTGAAAATTTCAGCTCATTTGCACTTATAGTTCCTGAGATAAAATTGTGTTAAGCAATTTGGGGTAATTTATCAATTTTTCAATTTTTCTGAGTGCCTTTTTTCATAGATTTCGGCTTCAAATCTGAGAATAATTTAGTATATAAAATTTGGGGGATGTTGATTGACCATTAGGATACAAAATCTCGACAAAAAAAAATTTGAAATTTCATCGTTTTAGTAAGAAGGTACCTACCTTATGATTTAGATTCTGGAAAACTTTGAAAGATCATAACTTTTTTTCTATTATAGATAGAAAGCTGAAACTTTTACTGAATTTTATCCCAATCAAGGGACTACAATCCCTGAAAATGTCAGCTCATTTGCACTTATAGTTCCTGAGATAAAATTGTGTTAAGCAATTTGGGGTAATTTATCAATTTTTCAATTTTTCTGAGTGCCTTTTTTCATAGATTTCGGCTTCAAATCTGAGAATAATTTAGTGTATAAAATTTGGGGGATGTTGATTGACCATTAGGATACAAAATCTCGACAAAAAAAAAATTGAAATTTCATCGTTTTAGTAAGAAGGTACCTACCTTATGATTTAGATTCTGGAAAACTTTGAAAGATCATAACTTTTTTTCTATTATAGATAGAAAGCTGAAACTTTTACTGAATTTTATCCCAATCAAGGGACTACAATCCCTGAAAATTTCAGCTCATTTGCACTTATAGTTCCTGAGATAAAATTGTGTTAAGCAATTTGGGGTAATTTATCAATTTTTCAATTTTTCTGAGTGCCTTTTTTCATAGATTTTGGCTTCAAATCTGAGAATAATTTAGTGTATAAAATTTGGGGGATGTTGATTGACCATTAGGATACAAAATCTCGACAAAAAAAAAATTGAAATTTCATCGTTTTAGTAAGAAGGTACCTACCTTATGATTTAGATTCTGGAAAACTTTGAAAGATCATAACTTTTTTTCTATTATAGATAGAATGCTGAAACTTTTACTGAATTTTATCCCAATCAAGGGACTACAATCCCTGAAAATTTCAGCTCATTTGCACTTATAGTTCCTGAGATAAAATTGTGTTAAGCAATTTGGGGTAATTTATCAATTTTTCAATTTTTCTGAGTGCCTTTTTTCATAGATTTCGGCTTCAAATCTGAGAATAATTTAGTGTATAAAATTTGGGGGATGTTGATTGACCATTAGGATACAAAATCTCGACAAAAAAAAAATTGAAATTTCATCGTTTTAGTAAGAAGGTACCTACCTTATGATTTAGATTCTGGAAAACTTTGAAAGATCATAACTTTTTTTCTATTATAGATAGAAAGCTGAAACTTTTACTGAATTTTATCCCAATCAAGGGACTACAATCCCTGAAAATTTCAGCTCATTTGCACTTATAGTTCCTGAGATAAAATTGTGTTAAGCAATTTGGGGTAATTTATCAATTTTTCAATTTTTCTGAGTGCCTTTTTTCATAGATTTCGGCTTCAAATCTGAGAATAATTTAGTGTATAAAATTTGGGGGATGTTGATTGACCATTAGGATACAAAATCTCGACAAAAAAAAAATTGAAATTTCATCGTTTTAGTAAGAAGGTACCTACCTTATGATTTAGATTTTGGAAAACTTTGAAAGGTCATAACTTTTTTTCTATTATAGATAGAAAGCTGAAACTTTTACTGAATTTTATCCCAATCAAGGGACTACAATCCCTGAAAATTTCAGGTCATTTGCACTTATAGTTCCTGAGATAAAATTGTGTTAAGCAATTTGGGGTAATTTGTCAATTTTTCAATTTTTCTGAGTGCCTTTTTTCATAGATTTCGGCTTCAAATCTGAGAATAATTTAGTGTGTGGAGTTTGGGGGATGTTGATTGACCATTAGGATACAAAATCTCGACAAAAAAAAATTTGAAATTTCATCGTTTTAGTAAGAAGGTACCTACCTTATGATTTAGATTTTGGAAAACTTTGACTGGTCATAACTTTTTTTCTATTATAGATAGAAAGCTGAAACTTTTACTGAATTTTATCCCAATCAAGGGACTACAATCCCTGAAAATTTCAGCTCATTTGCACTTATAGTTCCTGAGATAAAATTGTGTTAAGCAATTTGGGGTAATTTATCAATTTTTCAATTTTTCTGAGTGCCTTTTTTCATAGATTTCGGCTTCAAATCTGAGAATAATTTAGTGTGTGGAGTTTAGGGGATGTTGATTGACCATTAGGATACAAAATCTCGACAAAAAAAAATTTGAAATTTCATCGTTTTAGTAAGAAGGTACCTACCTTATGATTTAGATTTTGGAAAACTTTGAAAGGTCATAACTTTTTTTCTATTATAAATAGAAAGCTGAAATTTTCACTGAATCTTATTTCAATAAATTGTGTAACTCCATGGCTCACTTAAAATAAGCTCTTGTTTTTTGATCATACTCTAGTTATAGTTGAGCTACAACACTCATTTTTGACCTTTTTTAAGCTGAATCTTAATTAGAATCATCATCATCATCAATATTTTAGGGCCTTCCAAAGAATCCTGATTAAGAATTTTGTTGGTAGAAAATGTTGGAGGCTTAAACCAAAAAAACATGAAGGATGTTTCATTTTTCTTTGAGGACATTGTTTGAAAAACTGAATTGAAATTTCACAAGTGGATAGAGAAAAGATTGAAATATGGGAAAAAGAGTAAACCACTTTTTCTGTTTGCTCACTACATTCCTAGAAGCTGAAAAATGTCTGAGAATCTATTCAAAAGAACTTTCAAGTTGGTGCTTTAAAGCTAAAACAACTATTTTGAAAATTGCAGAAGCTAGATGAATGATTTCAAATACCTATTCGAAACTCTTTAGAATGACTGAGAAAGAGTATTTTGGAACTGAAATAGTATTCTAGAAGTTGGAAACCAAGCTGATAAATGTCTGATAATTCTGCATCAGTGTCTTATTCAATATTTGAAATTGACAGATTTTCTAAATGTCATTCTTTATTTTTTCTTCTTTGGAGTTTTTTCCCGAATGGGCGGTTCAATTTTTGGTATTTTTCATATGGTTCTCGTACATGTAAGTTTATAGATTTATGTTTTGTTCTGACTACTGTATGGCTACCCATTTTTGAATTTATTTGAATTTTCAAGTCCAATCGACTCTTCGTAAGCTTTGTTTGTAATTACAACATCAATGCAATTTTTTGAGTAATTTGCATTAAATTAAAAGTATCCAAATTTTTATAAACATGTTTTTATTAACAACAATAAACAAAACGAAAGAGGAAAAAAAAGATGAGGAAATGGTGTATCAGTCTTGCGTCTTCAAAAAAAACCTACAGCACTTATGAATGATGTTTGCTGTGATGGTAGACAACCTTGTAAACGGGCACTTTGTAAGGCACCGGCTTAGTAATCTTCACTGGAACATGTTTCTCCACTGGAACGGGCACTGGTTTCTCGACATGATAATGCACCTCCTTCTCCACTTTATATGGCACTGGTTTTTCAACTGGAATAGTGATCACTTTGATCACAGGTACTGCAACTGGCTGAGGTACGTTGATATGAATGGGATAGGGTTGCGGTACTGGCACAGCTACCGGTTTTGGTACCGGTACCGGCACGGCGTGCGGTACTTCGACGGCTTCGTGCTTGTAGACCGGTACCGGGATGTGTTTGGTCACTTCGACGGTGTGCGACAGTTCGTGATGACCGCCGTGGCCACCTTCATAACCGGCATTTACTACCGCTATGATTACGAAAATCGACGCCGCGGATAATGTATTCATTTTTGCACTAATAATGCAGTTAGTTGAATGATGATTGTATTTTAAATCGGAAACTTTATATAGTGCAGCGACAAAATGGACTTTCACTGTGCAGAATTTGTAGATTATCAATTGGGAGATAGTGAAAGTAAATTGGAGCTGTTCCTTCCGTAATTTTGTATAAAAAAAACTAACTATTAATTTATAATTTGTTATTAGGCGTGCATTTTGAAATCTGTAGCAAAAGACAGGCGCTTATGTAATATGCACTTATGTATTGTTTGTTTTTTTAATGTATTTATTTATTTTAAATTTATTTCATAGAATATTATTTAATTCATGTAATACATATTCCTAAGAATAGTTGCAACAGGAAACTAGCAAGATTTCTTTATAATCATGTAATATATAGAGCAGGTGTAGGTGACATTTGGCACTTTTTTCAGTTAATTTGCTTATTGCATGCAATGAAGTCGTTGTCATATATAGTTTTAGACTCCACAGAATCCTCGAAGTCTTCAGGATGAGTGGAAATAAATGAAACTTCTTGACAGGCATTTTTTTTACATCAACTTGCCACAAATAAATAATAATTTTACGCAAAACTATTAAAATACTTCTTGGCTAGAATGTACCACACCTTTTCCTGTATATTACCCTTCACTATCGTTTGATTTTAGTCTCGGATGGTAAAATTTGAAAGTCATTTGACAGGTCGTTATGCATTACTATTCTCTTCGTATGACCACTGTTCTAATACATACATAAAATTAATTGACTTGTGGGCTTCATATAATTATAATTTGAGAGGAAAAGTGCTATAACGATGCAATAATTGATTTGAAATAATAACATTGAGATAATCCTTCTATGGGTTCATTTCACCAAATAATTGTGTTTGGCTCAATATAGGATGTTTAATCAGATTTTTGGCACGTGTATAGGAAAATAATTATTTCTAAGGCCTCTAAACGAAATGATTTCTTAATTTGTTTCCGAATCTATGAATCGATTTAATTGATTTCCGGTTTGCATCTTCGATGCCTTAGATTGCAAAAAGGCATGAGATACGTGTGTTGCTGACATTCAATAGCCAATCGATTTAAAATAAGTAGCTTTCTCTGATATTTGTGGTAAGTTCAATAGTAGACATGTTATTAATTGTGTTTGGTTGTTGGTTTGTAATCTTCTAGGCCAGATTATCATCTTATTAAGTAATAACTTTGATTTCAAAATAATTGATTTATCACTTAATGTTTTTATAAAATCTTACACAACAAATTTCTTATTCAAACTGACTACTACGTGCTATTTATAGACGACGTAGTACTCTGGATTCATCTAGAAAAATTTGTTTATTGAATATAATAGAATAATTCCCAGGATAGACGCGCTCTAGATGTGAACACACCATAGTATGTACTAAAGTTTTGTATTTTTAGCCCTGAAAATTATGGTTGACATTCCCTCACAAAATCGCTCATAGCTTAATCAATATTCTACGAATTCTAATGCATATTTATATACATACATATTCTTAATCGGAATTCAATGCTCTTCAAGATAAAACAAAATTGAATCATTTATCTCAAATGTCCAAGCAAACTAATTCAAAATGGCGGCGAATCTTGCATTAAATGATGGGGTTCCAATTTTTTCATAAATGTGTAGGGGATGATGTCTTTGACGACGTGTTATAAAATCCCGTTGATTTTATGCGCCGCGGTGGGGGGGAAGGGGGCGTCCCAAAGATCACTTTTTTCAGTTTTTGGCTTTTATCTCGAGAATGGTGCGTCCCACAAAAAAATTTATACTTTGTAAAATTGAAACTAATGAAATTTCTTTTCGAATGATGTATGTATTTATACCCAAAAATATTACCGTTTTCCAGATATGAGCCGCTGAAATGCAAAATTATCAAAAAAAGTGATGGCTGCTTAAGGTATCTCATAAATCTTGATATTACAGTAAGAAAAAAAGTTGTAGACCAAAAATTTTTTTTCAAATGCTTCTTGATATAATTTCTCTGCTTTACCCAAAACCCCTTAGGCCCATTATCACAATCGATGGTGACTAGAAAATGTCTGATGGATTAGGGTTATAATTAGTTAAATTTCGTTCCACAATCTCAGGTATACCAAAATCTTTTGGTTAACCGCCAGTATACTTCACCAGCGCTTCATGTTTGGGTTCACGCTAGGTTTTCTCAAAACATAACCTACAACTACTGTACCTATGTTTTTTTCATGAAAAATTCGTATATTTTAAAACAAGAGTATTTATGATAATATAAACGCATACGAAGTGACTACAGTGATGATGGGGTATTTGAAGTTGGAGATAGAGCTCCCAAAGCAAGAATTTTTAGAGAGAGGTCTAATTATTTTGAAACACATGATGGGCAAGAGTTTATTTGCTAGATTTTAGACTGCGGCGAAATACAGTATCAAGGTTTGTAGTATCAAAATGTACTTAAAACCAGGACCTAAATTTTTGAATTTATCAATAAAACGCGGTAGGTATACATAAATATTAGTAATTTTATTTTACAAAAAACCTACGCTGGAGAAACTAGATTTATCTGAAACAATAGCAGTAGTAGAAGAACTTGCAATAGTAGTGCTTGTTCTTGGTGCTGAAAAAAAACAGGAATTGTAGATACCTATATTACTACTGCGCTGGGGTCAGCAACAGTCATGGTAATAAAATACTACGCGTTCTTTGGAAGACAATTATTTTAACACAAAAAAAACCTGCTGGCCTTATTCCAAAAAATTACTGAATAACAATTTTAATAGCTTCAAATTTCCTTGCTTGGAATACCCAAGTATAATTCAAAGTATAGAGGTACTTGGCTTGAAGATCTTTTATTCAAATCAAAAGGAATAAATAATGACATACAGATAATGACATTCTATGATAATGACAAGTTGGAAGTTGGCATATTATGTCATTCTTTCAGGTCATTTGCACTTATAGTTCCTGAGATAAAATTGTGTTAAGCAATTTGGGGTAATTTGTCAATTTTTCAATTTTTCTGAGTGCCTTTTTTCATAGATTTCGGCTTCAAATCTGAGAATAATTTAGTGTATCGAGTTTGGGAGATGTTGATTGGCCATAAGGAAATAAAATCTCGACAAAAAAAAATTTGAAATTTCATCGTTTTAGTAAGAAGGTACCTACCTTATGATTTAGATTTTGGAAAACTTTGAAAGGTCATAACTTTTTTTCTATTATAGATAGAAAGCTGAAACTTTTACTGAATTTTATCCCAATCAAGGGACTACAATCCCTGAAAATTTCAGCTCATTTGCACTTATAGTTCCTGAGATAAAATTGTGTTAAGCAATTTGGGGTAATTTATCAATTTTTCAATTTTTCTGAGTGCCTTTTTTCATAGATTTCGGCTTCAAATCTGAGAATAATTTAGTGTGTGGAGTTTAGAGGATGTTGATTGACCATTAGGATACAAAATCTCGACAAAAAAAAATTTGAAATTTCATCGTTTTAGTAAGAAGGTACCTACCTTATGATTTAGATTTTGGAAAACTTTGAAAGGTCATAACTTTTTTTCTATTATAAATAGAAAGCTGAAATTTTCACTGAATCTTATTTCAATAAATTGTGTAACTCCATGGCTCACTTAAAATAAGCTCTTGTTTTTTGATCATACTCTAGTTATAGTTGAGCTACAACACTCATTTTTGACCTTTTTTAAGCTGAATCTTAATTAGAATCATCATCATCATCAATATTTTAGGGCCTTCCAAAGAATCCTGATTAAGAATTTTGTTGGTAGAAAATGACAATTATTTTAACACAAAAAAAACCTGCTGGCCTTATTCCAAAAAATTACTGAATAACAATTTGAATAGCTTCAAATTTCCTTGCTTGGAATACCCAAGTATAATTCAAAGTATAGAGGTACTTGGCTTGTAGATCTTTTATTCAAATCAAAAGGAATAAATAATGACATTCTATGATAATGACAAGTTGGAAGTTGGCATATTATGTCATTCTTTTTTTATCAATTCCACTGGCCACTGCTGCAAACGGACACTGAACGCATCATTCACGTTCCAACCCTAGAAAAAAAGTTTAACCTCCGGGAACTTAACCAGATGTCACAAAAGTTTGGTGAAATGGTACTCCTATGGTAACCTTAGGGTATAAGTTACCTTAACCTTAAGGTTAACTGCATATTGTGACAATGGGCCTAAGTGGTTAGGGTGTTTGGAAGTTTAGGGATACGTTTTAACACTTCGCCGAGCATTCTGCTATTAAAAAGCTCGTTACTTAAGTTTCATTTATTCCTAAAAGTTTAAACAACATGTATTTGCCATGGATATGTATTTTATTCTCAATCAATGTAATCTTCTTCGGAAAAAGTTCCGAATAGATCAACTCTTCTTCAAAATGCCCCAAGTCTTGTTGCATGGGCAAACTGTTTGTACAGGAGCCTTGACAGTTATTGTACACCATCGAACAGTTCATTCCAGCTCTCCTGCAACCACACCTTGTTCCGCAACCAGTGGTACATCGACAGAAAAGTGTTTTGAGGACACTGCCTGGGGCCAAAGGGGTTGTCTTGATGGGGTTGACGTATCCACCATCTTTTCTTATCCAACCTCAACTTTCAGCAGGAAGGGATTCGTTCCCCAACCATTGCTGTACCTGCAGATACACTCTGTAAGAATGCTGCATGCCAGCTTTTTTTGTAGGCGACAAAGCGCACAGGTTGGCTTTCATTTTTACACTTGATTTAACGAAGCACATGTATCTGCGAACAAAACGAAAAATCATAGATTAGAGTTGTAGATAGTCCCGATAGTGATACATTAATGTTGAATATAACCAATGACAATATAACATTATTGTCTTACTAATAATAGAACGTTTTATTGTATAATCATGAATTTTAAGATTTGCGTGAAAAGGAGATAGTGCGAGCAAAGAACCTGTGGTGATTAAGATCATTCTCATTTGGCGGGGCTTGGTACATAAGCAAAAACATTCTTTCG